GGACTCGGTCTGGGGACTGTCCTCCCGACCGATCGGTGCTGCAGCTCTGCTCGGTGCGAAACCCGTGGTCATATAAAGCTTTATAAGGTTTCGAGTCGGCTGGGACGAATCTGTCCTGGGGGCAGTCAGCATCTGCGCATGGCAGGCTGCCAGGCTTCCTGGAATTGAGATCCCAATCACACAGAGCTCACTGGGCACAGAACTGTGTTTCGCAACACAGCTCTGATCGCAGCCCGGTGCAGTCCTTGGTATGATTCTGAGAACAGCACGATATTGCAGTCATACTTTGGTTTCGTTACCAGCCGTGGTTCGTGCTGGGGCCCCCGTAGACCGCCAGTTGTTCCCGGCGAGTTAGCCCAGTGAGTTACATGGCCGGTGAGTGAGTGCTTTGTCGCTGTAGCACTCCGTCAGTGCGACCGTCGCCGCCGCGCGGGCACACGACGTCGGCCTGTCTCCGCTCGGGGACGTATAAATAGCGTCCGTCACATGGCGAGGTGCCAGCGGCGCGGCCGCCGTCCCCGTCCCCGCCGTCTCTGCCGGCTGATTGGTGGGCGCCGTGACGGACTCCCGTTCCTCTCCCGTTCGTCCTGCTGCCTCCCCCACCGGCGCTCTGGCATACCACGCGGGCCGGGCGGGCACCAGCTGTGGGACCGGAGAGCGGCGTCACCCGCCCCTGCCGCCGGCCCGGCCTGCCCGGGGCCCGCGGCGCCAGCTGCTCCTGTGGCTCGGGGCGAAGGTCAGGGTCGCTCGAGTCTCTCGGCTGTCGATTGACTCCGGCTACGGCTCGGAACGGATGGCCTCCTCCGGTGTCGGCCGGTGATCGGGTTTCTTCTAACGCCACCGCCATTGATCAGTTCGACCAGATGACACGGGTCTGGACCTTTGTCACATGAGATTTGTCCACCTTGTGTGAAACAGCGGGAGAAGTTCCTGGTTTGAGGGGAGTGAGGAGTGCTGGGTCATCAAATATCTGACCACGTGTCGCCGGGCGGCTCGGCAGGGCGCGTGGCCTCGCCCGTCGCCAGCACCGTTTGCTTTGGCAGACGGAGAGCATATGTGCCGGCGCGTGGTCACTTGACATGGCCAACATGCAAGTCTCGTGATCATAAGACGTGGACCGGACCGTGGTGACGTGAATGGATGGTGTACTAACTACTCGTCACTGAGCTGTTGTGCCTTATCACTCGTCCTCATTTACTCCGACGGAGGCCTCCAAAACTATTGATTTATCTATTGAACATTGACAAACCTATCGTTGGAGCTTAGGGTCGCTTGGCTCTACAGCCACTAGCCAGTATCCTTTCGATGAAATGACCACCGACCCTCAACCAAATATATATGTATGGCATATTATGCAAATATCGTGATCCCGGGCAGACCTTCTGTTGGCGCTGGCACCGCCTATGGTCATGGCTTTTGGCCAGTCTCCTTTGTTGTCATTACAGCACTGTCTCCGGTCGCACCGTTCAAATAGGAGAAACTGCCCAGTGTTCCGACCATTCACGGCCTCGACTGAGAGCTCCGATCGAGCGGCAGGGCGGACCGCGTGGTCCGGCAACCCGTCTGTTTACGAAGGCTCTCCGCCGAAACCGTGGCTGGGCTGGGGCGGCGTCATATGACGTCACAGGGTGTGTGACGTCATACTACCAGGGCAAAGCATCCAGCGTGCGCAGTTTGAGCGAGTGGTGTTTACGGGTTAAGGATCGTGGTGCCTTCAAATACCGTAAGATGGGCTATTTGAGACAGTTGTAGTGGTTTAGTCAAATCGTTATAAAATGAAGACCGTTTGAAATTTTTCGTCTTTTTTCCTCAGGCAATTCACCGTTCGATTCCACACCAACTTAAACAAAAATGACAGAAAAATATCAAACGGTTTTCATTTTATAGCGATTTTACTAAACCACTGCATACTGTCTCACATAACCCCACTGTCTCAAATAGCCCCACCTTACGGTACGCCTGCTTCTGTCCAATAAATCCTTATAAATCCAACCGAGATGTATGTTGTAGGTCTGGCCAGGCGCTTTAGAGCCTTGATCCTGGATAGAGACTATAAGCTGAAGGTCCTGTATCTGGCTGTTTTTGCGTAGGCAGCTTGGAACTGACCGTTACGTAACGTTGATCAATGCGTGGTTTCTAACGGACAATGACGAAATTGAGGCTCGCAACAACAGCGAATTTCTCTCGATCACCTACATTTGTCATCCAGTAAGATATCTGTTTACAGGTCGCATCACTCATGGATGTTGTCTACCACTTTTTATACAGTTTAATTGAGCATCTTTTTAGGAGGGGGATCTGCTCGACCATTAGCATGCCTCAACTCCCCGGCTGGATGGCAGGCACTGTGGCTCTTGTCTCAGCTGTGTGATCACCAGGTGGCAGTCTGTTGCCTCTGTCATCACGCGCCTCCTGCCCTCGAGCGTCACCTCCTGCCAATTATGACCTGCACGAGCAGTTGGCACCTCTTGAGTGCCGGCAGCTGCCAAAATGTGCCGCGCTACGCACGGCTCGACGGCAGAGGCCAGCGCGGTTAGGGGTTGCTCGATAATATCCATGGCGTATGGTTTTGAAACCCTGTAGTGCTGACTGGCCGTTTTATAATACTTTTGTATTGTTTGCCTAGCTACCCGGTTACCAGGCTGCTGCCAGTGTCCGTAGGTATACCACCCGCGTTCCCACACCTACGTGGTCAACATTAATGGGCTGCTGACAACGTTCAGTGGTCCTCAGTGTCCGCCCATTGGGCTTATATTAGCACTGCTTATCCGTGACTCGTGTTTGGTTATTCTATAATGTCGTACCTTCCCCCCACCCCTCCCTCACCACTTACGCTAGTGACCTGATAAGTCCTTGGTGACCAGCGATGCTCGTGCCGAAGGAAAAGCGCCCTGGCACGGCCGCGCCACCAGGGGATCGTCCAGTCATACCGCTATCACAATAAATCGGGGTGCCTGGCTGATGGCAGGCTGGTCGCTGTACTGGATGGGAACTCCTGTTCCTTAGAGACTCGTGCCGGGTCGCCCTAGAGTGCTTGATATGGTATGTCGTCTGTACTCGGTCCACCCTGTTTGTAACTCATCTGATTGCTAGGCTACGTTGCAGGGCTATCGGAGCGCATCTTGTACCTACCAGTTTGTCTTCCTCGAGTTTGATAGAGGTATGGTAAAGCATAAGGGAAGCTTGACTTGGTGATCCGTCCTTCACAATTTTCAACTTTGTATATTGGAGGCTGGAGCCCCTTCCCCCCCCCCGCACACACACGCTTATGCTTATCGTCTAGCGTAGGGATAAACCTTGAATCTCCACCACACAAAGTCATCGATCGGCTCGGGGGGGGGGGGCATCTATTTCTGCACCTTTTTCATAGGTATGCCCAGCTTTATTGTTCTGCTGGCGGTGTGCTGATGCCCATTGGGACTATTATTTTGTGCCGATGCTTGCGATGCCCGTGGTATGAACGGCGAAATATAACCTTTATTCACGGACAAGTGATGATGGATTCAGCTCTGTGGGTAAGGTCACTGAGCGTCTGGTCAACCTTTATCTGGTTAATTCATCCGGGAATGAAACCGGTTAGGTGTGTTGTTTGACCGTGGCTTTTATTACCCATGCCGGCCCACACTGGTCGCAGCTTCTCTGCTGCTCACTGTTTTGGTCGCCCTCTACGCACCGGTTTTTGGGACCCCGCTGTCTGTACCGCGCAGAGCGCCGCTCGTCCCGCACCACACGCCGGCCGTTAGGTTGGCGAGGTTGAATGTTTATTAAAATGTGCCGGGCCGGCGGGCTGTCTGGGGTCGGTCGGCCCGGTCACTCGCGCCCCGCGCCGCCAAATCGGATGCCGGGAGGGGCACTACACTCATACACGCGGCTCGTTTTGCAAGGCCTCTTGACTTGTAGATGACCGCGTGAAGTAGCCGTTCGGCTGCCGATCTGAGTAGTGCTCCTGTTTGTCCCGTTGGTGGGACGTACTGTTGAGCGCATGGGTCGTAACTCGTATTGGTGTGCTGACTGCTGTGCCAATTTGTTGACCTGGCTTACTCCTGGTGCCTCTGTGAGCACGTGTTTGCTCGCTGGCCCTCATGGCAACATAACTGGGCGGGTCGTGACGTGATGCATGACTTGCAAATTGTTGGCGTGCATCAGCACAGACCGATAGGTGCGGCGAACATACATGTGCTTTTACCGGTGTTATTGCCTTATAAACGTTGAATGTGGCACACCCAGTTTTATCATTGTGCTAACGTAAATAATTGCGTAGGATATTTCCGCTCCCACAAAGTTGTACAACGACTTGTTTTTTTTTTAGACGCAGTTTGTCATCAATGATTCTTCGAGGGACTTTCGCTAGTCGTTATCGCAGAGGTGCCCCGCTGGGGGTCGGAAGTCTGCCGGGGACCCACTGAGAGGCGGGTCCGACTATCTGGACCTATCTCTGCGGAAATGGATCGCCCCCACTCTGTATCGGTGTCACGGCCCGTGTTTTTATCGCCGGCCCAATACGACGGCGATTTTGATGGGCTATTTTTGCCGCTGTTCGGTGCGGCCGATCCATTCATTGATACGCTACCCAGGGGCGCGGGGTCAGGTTGGGTTCGGGCAGAGGTTTGACGGTGAATAGAAAGGTCTCCGCGTGGTCGGTGCGGATGATCGTATCGAGGACAGCATGGCAGCGTGCTTACCGGGTCCTGCTGAGGGGCTGGAAAGGAGCTGCTGTTTCGCGGTCGAAGTCGGCCTATCCTCTTAGAGGCTTTGTTCGGGACCATTTATGAGCGATAGTACGCATCGCGTTGAACACTACTGTTAAGTGGCTCGGATTGCACTGGCAATTTTCTTTCGGGTTCATTTTATGTAACTACATTACCAGTGTCGTGATACCGCATCTGCACTTTGTGCGCATCTACATTGATCCTTATGAAAATAGTTTCTGTTGACTGTTTATCTCTCGACTTCAACCACCCCACCTGACGAGCGCCTCTCCGGTTTTCTGTGCTCCGCAGACCCGGCTACAATGAAGGCGGACGGCCCGGAGAAGGAGCAGGTAAACGGCGCGGAGAAGGAGAGGGACGGGATGGAAAGGGAGAGGGACGGAGCGGAAAAGGAGAGGGACGGAGTGGAAAAGGCCGAGCTCGAGGACACCAAGGAGAGCGAGAAGCAGGGAGGAGACGCGGAGAAGGACACGGACAAGGACGGCAAGAAGGACGACAAAGACCAGGAGGTGGTCTTCATTCAGGATGTCGGCTTCACAGTCAAGGTGATTAGCGCAAGACGTGGCAGATTGGCTGATGGGATCTTCTGATGCTGGTTACGGAGCGAGCGAAGCGAGCGTAGTCTTTCCTTAGATTAACGGAAATTTCTGAGTATGAGCGGCCGGCCGGCCGGCCGGCCGTGGTCACGCTTTTGCGAGGCTTATATCTCAGCAACCACTTGACCGATTTACATGCGGTAATTTTTGTAGGGTAGCTTCATTCCTTCTACCAAGTATTGCACTATTCCCGATGCATGTGGGTGACCCCTTATGCACGTGCCACGTGCAAAACGAAGAGGTGTCACTTTTGTAATTGTTGCAATATCTCGGTAACTACTGGGCCGATTGCGCTGAGAGTTGGCATGTAGGTAGGCACCCACTAGGCAATGCATATCCATGTGCCAGAGTTGGGGTGCTGCTGCACGTGCGCACGTGCAGGGGTCGTTTCCAGATCTCCAGAACGGCTGGACCGATTGCGCTCAAATTTGGTACACGGTTACGGAGCAGTTAGTAGGGTGCCGTGCACAAGTCAGTTGGGACCCATTTTGCACGTGCGCACGTGCAGGGTGCCGCTTCCAGATCTCGAGAACGGCTGGGCCGATTGTGCTCAAATTTGGCACATCGCTAGAGACCGGTTAGTAAGGTGCCGTGCACAAGTCAGTTGGAGGTACCCCCTCGCAATTTCGCACGTGCAAGGCCCACCCTCTCGCTCGCTCCGTTAGTCGCCACAAAAGGCGTTATACTGGTAAACTAAAGTTGCCTTATTGTTAGTGTCTTTATACGACTCTGGATTGCAGTATAAACGATCTGTTGCTCTCATGCATCGCCTTTTGAAGCACCTAGCCAATGTTGTTTTCTTTCTGCAACCTAAGTATGTGAAGAATTTTCTCATTCTTATTTGTACTTCACCCGGATAATTAGATAAAAAGAGTTGCTTGCTATTCGCGTCCATAACCTGACCTGCGCCGCCCGCCGCGGCCCCGCCGTCCGTCAGATGTACGCTCCGGGCCTGGAGCCGTTCGACATCCAGGTTTCGAGTATGGAGCTGGTCCAGGAGATCCACCAGCTGCTCATGGACCGCGAGGACACCTGCCACCGCACCTGCTTCTCCCTCCAGCTCGACGGCAACACGCTCGACAACTTCGCCGAGCTGAAGACCATCGAGGGTCTCAAGGATGGCTCTATCATCAGGGTGAGCAGCGAGACGTCGGGCTGTTGTAGATGGATAGAGGGTGGGATGTCTAACGACTGCCTTTGGCAAGATTTGTGCGTTTGTGTGACCGTAGAACATTGCCTTAGTCTCCTGTCATTATCTCATGTTCATGACATGATAGCAGTTGAGATAGCACGACTCCATCTGACTCCGTGTGACGCGACGTGTTTTTTACGCCACGTGTGTTGTCCAGGTGGTGGAGGAGCCGTACACGGTGCGCGAGGCGCGAATCCACGTGCGCCACGTACGTGACCTGCTCAAGTCGATGGACCCGGCAGACGCGTTCAATGGAGTGGACTGCGCCTCACTGGCCTTCCTTAACACGGTCACCAACGGAGATATCCTGGGTAAGTTGGGCTTGGCGGAGGACGCGGGGCTACAGGGCCACTGTAAATGGCGTGTTGTATGTTTCTGCGAAGTATATGAAAAACCTCCACGTACTCGGGATGTTCCAGACGCGTGAACAGGCGCTGAAAATGTGGTGATCGTTGCATTCCCGTTGGCTTATAGCCTGCAGGTGTATTCAAATGCACCGCTGCTAGTCTGATTCGGCTAGCCCCAGCGTCTCCCGCAATCCCTCGCTTTTGCGTTTGTGGTACGTTCTGCTTACGTAAGTATCACTGTGCGTAACCAATGCTGAATTCTGGCCTGCGCGAATCCGGCGCCAGGACAGCCGGTCCCTCACTTTGTCCTCTCTCCTCCCCCTGCACCCTTCCCTCCGCTGTCCTCCCCTCGCCCTCCCCGGTCTGTGCTCGGCCAGCCGGCCGGCGCCGCTCGGTTACACACCACCGAACGTGTGCCGGGCGGCAGCGGATGGTCCCTCCGCCTCTAGCCGGCCGGTCCATCCGTCCTCCCACTGCCCCCGTCGACGCGCGGCCGTCGGCGCCCTCCCGACGCTGACGGTACCGACACCGGACACTGCTCCGACGCACCGGCCGACTGCGTCAGCCCGCGGCCGGCAGAGGTGATTAGCGAGCCCTCCTCGGCGCGGGAGGAGACACCGGACACCGCGGCCGGCCGGCCGACCCCCGCCGAGCGGGCGGCGCGGCGCTGAATGTTGGGGCCGCGTGTGACGCGTCTGTGGATGAGATGGGTAAACCAGACAGGTTTTGGGCAGCTGGGACCACGATCAGTGAAAATTGAGCCGTCGGCGGTAGTGACGTACCGTTGTGCTGATGTATGGACATAATATTGGGTGTCTTTTCGTCCATCTTATTGTCGAGCTTGCGACACGTGAGTTGTGACCCCTCAGATGCCGGGTTGGGGTTAGTAAAGTCTGTCGCCTCAAAAGTTCGGCTGAGCTATCAGAGGCCAGTTTAGGTTTTCAGACATTTTCGAAGGCATCCTCAAAGATTCGTGTGGCCCTTCAGAGATCTACTCGTACGTTAAGGTCCTCAAAGATCCCTGTATGGGCCCTCAGAGAACATGGACACCAGTGGGACTCTCAGAGGCCGGTTTGGGCCCTCCGAAAGCTTCTTAGAGCTCAGTGGAGCTCCTTAGGAGTCTGTGTGAAAAAGCAAGCTCATGAGCCCTGCGGCACTTGAACGGTACTTGTGCCTGTCGCAGACATTTGACGAGAGTTGAGAAAGGCCCCGAATATTTCGTGTCACGCTTTGAACGAAAATCATGTGTCAGCACACCAAAATTTATGAAAATCAGCTACAAAATGTAATAAAGAACCAACTAGGAACATGGAATGAATCATAGCATTGACATTTCCGAGTCTGGGTCGGAGTCTTGAAGATTTTGGCGACTGCGACTCTGACTTTGGTTTGAACTGCACGCTCCAACAGAGTCTGACCTCAAGGCATTCTCAGAAAGGTACACTCGGGGGCAGATTGATGTTCCACCACTCCCTAATCATCGGGCTCCCATGGCTCAGCACTGGCTGCTGCCAGTGGCAGCACTGGCAGCACTGGCACTGGCAGGCAGTGCTGAGCAGTGCTGAGGGCAGGCAACACTGGCAGCAGCCAGTGCTGAGCCATGGGAGCCCGATGGGTAGGGAGCGGTGGAACATCAATCTGCCCCCGAGTGTACCCCCATTTTTTCCCGACTCCAAAATCTCATCGGATCTGTATCGATCTCAGGGGGTGCCCGGTCCGAGGTTGGGGGGGGGGGGGCAAGCTGCCCCGCTTGCCCCCCCGTGGCGACGCTAATGTCAATGACTATACTTATGCTAAACGATGTGGAAGAACCTATATCTCAAAAAGATAATTGGCTATGGCTTGGCTCATCTTGGCTCTGTCAGTTGAGTCGTACGTCAGGTCAAATGCCGTCTAGTTTTCGTCCTTTTTTTCTTTTGGATGGGTAGAGGACCTTTCTTTACACTACCCACACCCGTTATATCTTTTCCTCTCCTTTCATCCCGTCTTCCTCTCGCTCTACGTCTCTCCGACCCCCTCTTCCCTCCTCCCTCCGGCCCAGTCTCACCCTCCCTGACCGGCGCGCCGCGCCCCCGGGTGTGTCCAGCAGAGAAGAAGAAGGCCCGCCCGGAATCGGTGGACTGCACGCCACCCGACTACATCATGCCCGGCTGCCGGGAGCGGCCGCTGCTGCCCCTCCAGCCGCACGTCAAGGAGCAGACCGGACCGCAGTGCCTCAAGGTAAAGCGCCGCGGGGTGGGTGGCGGATGGGACCGCAGTGCCTCAAGGTATAGCCGCGGGGTGGGTGGCGGATGGGACCGCAGTGCCTCAAGGTAGCGCCGCGGGGTGGGACTGGGAACTGACAAGGGATTCCAGTTTCTCAAAGTGAGACTGGGATCGGGCCGCAGTGCCTCAAGATATAGCGCCGCGGGGTGGCGTGGCCAGCGGGTCGGGGACCAGGAGGGACAGAGGACACTCGTGAGGACAGCTGATGAGATTGGTTGACAGTATTCAGGGTGGTGGGGTGGAGCGGGGTGAGTTTTCAGAGAATGGGCTGGGCGTTCCTGACGAGAGTTATGGGGTGGGCTTCGCTAAATTGGCGTAATTTACCTAAGCTGGGCCACTATTTTAGTTCTTGCTACTTGCTAGTAACCAAGTAGGTTGCAGCTGTGATGTGTGGGTCCTGTCCGATGTCCAATTGAAAGGAGTGATGTTAAGAGCGACGTGGGTGCTGCCGATTTGCTGGCCATTAGGTAATTGCATCCCTCAGCTATTGATCGCATCATGAGCGGTGTCATGAACCTACCAGTGTCGTCTGCTCGATTACGTAAAACCCGTTTGTTGGGAAGGTTAATTACCCATTTTAGCCGAGCTCCCCTGACCACTGATCACGTGCCCTCTCAGGTGCTGACGACGTCCGGCTGGAACCCTCCGCCGGGCCCGCGGCGCATGCGCGGTGACCTGCTGTACCTGTACGCGGTGACGATGGAGGACAAGCGGTACCACATCACCGCCTCCACCCGCGGCTTCTTCGTCAACCAGTGAGTGGCGCTGGGGTGGGAAGGAGGCTGAGGGTGGCTGGAAGGGTTGGGGGGGGGGGGAGAACCGGCAGGACTGCGTCGAATTGGGCAACGCGTAGGAAAGGGTCGTCGCTTTCGACAAAAGTTACGCGAATTTTTTTTTTCTGAAACTCGAGAATAAATTCAGAACATCTTCAGTCGCAAGTGAGCGATTTAGTCTGTGGCTGAATGTCTTTGCATAATGACGCTTTAATCTGACTTATGTAACCGACATGCTTCAACTGACACAAAGGAGCTAGAGTACTCGTGAGCCCTTCGGTACCGCAGGCGCAGCCCATAACCCGTCACCCCGCACTCCCCTGACGCCTTCCCTCTCTTCCGGTCAGGTCGACGGACGAGGAGTTCAGTCCGAAGCCGGCCTCGCCCAACTACCTCTGTCACTCGCTGATCGACCTGATCGGTCAGATATCGCCCGTGTTCAAACGCAACGTATCGCAGCTGCAGAAGCGGCGCACGGCGCGCCACCCGTTCGAGCGCGTGGCCACGCCGTACCAGGTGTACACGTGGGCGGCGCCACCGCTGGAACACACCCTGGACGCCATCCGCGCCGAGGACGGTCAGTGCTGCGTTCAACATCAGCCAATATTGGTTGAATGCTACATATTTATCGATTTAGTTCGTTATTGTTGGCCACTGAATCGTATTTTGAATGCGTACCACTGGTGTAACCTTGCTAAGGTTGTGTCGAACCCTCGTTGGAGGTCCATGAATGTCCTCAGTATGCACTAACAGCCGATCGCATATTGCCTCCGTGTAAATTGTCTAGCTGACTCTTCGCTTTCCATGCGTCCACAGCGTTCTCTTCCAAGCTCGGCTATGAGGAGCACATCCCCGGTCAGACTCGCGACTGGAACGAGGAGCTACAGACGACGCGCGAGCTGCCCCGCAAGAACCTGCCCGAACGCCTGCTGCGAGAGCGGGCCATCTTCAAAGTGCACAGCGACTTTGTGTCGGCGGCCACCCGCGGCGCGGTGGCTGTCATCGACGGCAACGTGATGGCCATCAACCCGGGCGAGGACGCCAAGATGCAGATGTTCATCTGGAACAACATCTTCTTCTCGCTGGGCTTCGACGTGCGCGACCACTACAAGGAGCTGGGCGGCGACGCGGCCGCTTTCGTGGCGCCGGTAAGACTGCTGGAGACTGGGATCGGTCTAGGCTGCTGCCGGTTATGGGTGCCAGCGAGTTTCGGAGGGAATTCGCACTCTTCACGTTCGTTTGCTCAGACCGCTACTTTATGACTATCAGTCCACAACGCTCCTGACCCGCCGTCCTAAGACGTCCATTTCAGACGTTTCATTTCAGACATTCCTTTTCGCATCCCAAACGCTGCAGACGGTTCTTACCGCGTCGTAATTATACACAGATTGTTCTGGTGCAACGCGTGCGCCGCTTACTGAACCTGCCAGCAGTTGCATGTGGTGTGGAGGCCGGTGTCAGCAGTTACTGACACCCTTCCTCCCTCTCGTCAGCATAACGGCCACTGCGGGGTGTAAAAATGTACTGTGACCAATCTCTGACCCTTCCCTCTTTCCTAAGCGTAACGATCTACAGGGTGTCAAAGTGTACAGTGGCTGACCTCCCCTCCCCTTCTGCAGCGTAACGACCTGCAAGGTGTCAAAGTGTACAGCGGCTGACCTCCCCTCCCGCTCCCCTCCGCAGCGTAACGACCTACAGGGTGTCAAGGTGTACAGCGCCGTGGACACGGAGCACCTGTACACGCTCGGCACTGTGGTGGTCGACTACCGCGGCTACCGCGTCACTGCCCAGTCCATCATCCCGGGTATACTGGAGAGGGAGCAGGAGCAGAGCGTTGTCTACGGCAGCATCGACTTCGGCTCGACCGTGGTCAGCAACAGCAAGTACCTCGAGCTGGTGAGTGCGACGGAGAGAGGGAGCAGCGATTGAAAGGGTGGGGCATGGCAGAGGAATGATAATTGTCAGGCCGCTAAAGTTTGTGCGATTCAGCTTTCCTGTGCATTTAAATTCGTATCAGAGTTGTTGATACAGCTAAGGAGGAAGGCCGTGAACTCTGTATGTTTTTTTTTTTGCGTTCAGCAGCAGGGACATCAAAAATGTTTGAGCATATTGTATCATATATGTCACCTGAGTGTTCACTGTTCAGTTTCTCAAGAAGCTGCAACTCGCCGTATGTTGCATAACTTCCGACCCGAGTCGCTCGCCCTCTGACAGCCCCTCCCCGCCCTGTCCCTCCCCGCAGCTGAGTAAGCCGGGCCAGCAGCTGAAGATCGCCACCCACAAGGTGGTCAACGACAAGGGCGAGGAGGTGGAGCTCTGCTCGTCGGTCGAGTGCAAGGGCATCATCGGCAACGATGGACGCCACTACATCCTGGACCTGCTGCGCACCTTCCCTCCGGACGTCAACTTCCTGCCGCCGGAGACCACCGGCCTCGAGCTGAGCAAGGAGGCCCGCGCACTCGGCTTTCCCGTCCGACACAAACACAAACTGGCCTGCCTGCGACAGGAGCTCATCGACGCGTTCGTCGAGTGAGTGACGCGGTGGGGTTTGTGGTTTGGTGGAGTGGGAGGGAGAGAGATTGCAAAAGTTGAAAACATGGATTTCACAAAGTTGTATAATCGTATGATGCTGTAGTGTTGTAATGTTGTATAGATGTGTTTCGGCCGATAAGGTGTTTCAGCAAGAGTATGTGAATTTTGTTGAAACAATGCAAGCAATTTTTTTGCAAGTTTCTTTAAAAACCAACTATGTTTTGTCCAATTTGGGATTAATGTGTCCTGTGAACTCGGAATGTATCTGGCGCACTTGTTATTGATTTCCTGCTGTTGTTTCCGCAGGAGTCGCTACATGGCCTTCATCAAGTTCGCCGCCAGTCAGCTGCAGCAGATAGGCGAGAAGAAGAAGGCTCAGGAGGCGGCCTCCAAGCCGGCGATTGGCGAGGCTGCCTCTGCCGATCCCGCCGCCTCTGCCCCCGACCCTGACACCGCCGCCGCCTCCGCTGATACCCCTGCCGACGCGGGCGCCACGGACGCCAACAAGCTGCAGACGGACGAGGCCAAGCGTATCGTGGAGGACATCACCGACTCTATCACCGGCGAGAAGAAAGAGAGTGAGTGTCGAACAGAGCGGCTGTCCGGGCTTCCGCAGCACAATAGTGCTTACCTGCGACTGGAAGCAGATCACGCTACCTGCGACGATGCGTCTGCTCACCTTTTTATTTACCTCTTGGTAATTTTTTCGTTCTTTGCTTAAATTTTTTCGGACGAATTTTATGTCAATTGATGCTAAGATGTTAGCCTTCATTTTCACTCTCGAGTCTGAAACAACAGCAGATCTGCGACCCCCTCCTGCCGCCAGTGTTCCCAGGCTGACCCCTTCCCTCCCCCTCCCCCGGTGTCCCGCAGTGGAGGAGAGCTCTGTGGACATCGTGCGCCGCGCGGCCGCCGCCGTCGGCTCACTGAAGCCGGCAGAGTTCGAGCTGCGCTTCAACCCTGACGCGTTCTCGCCGGGCGTGCGCCACCCGGAGTCGGCGGCAGACGCCCTGCGCGCGCAGCGGGCGCTGGTGCGTGACGCGGCCGACTTCCTACTGACTGTGCAGATCCCCGGCTTCGTGCGCGACTGCCTGGACCACTCCTCGGCGCCGCTGGACGGCTCCACCCTGGTCGAGGCGCTGCACACGCGCGGCATCAGCGTGCGCTACCTGGGCACGGTGACCGACATGCTGGCCAAGGTGCCGAAACTCTCCTACCTGCACCGGATCGCCGTCGGCGAGCTGCTGACCAGGAGCGTCAAACACCTGTTCACCACCTACATGCAGGTCGGTGCCGATTGGTGGCCGGAAGGTGGGAAGGGTGCAGACTGCAGATGTGTCTCTTCTTACTCTGAGATGATAAGACGTGCTTTGTTACATCGCAGTATTGCATTGTAAGCTTTCACTTGGAGCTTGGTATTTGTGAATAACCCCACCACATTGTCAGCTGACGCCGTCGGTTACCAAAGCAGTTTGGGAGGCAAATAATAACAGATCGTTCTGCCGCCTGTGCCACCGCCTCAAACTGCCAATGGCCGCCATGTGCTGTCTGTGACGGTCGCTGTGTGCTGTCTATGACACCGCCCCACTGTACTAACTTCCACTGCGTGCTCTGATCGGGCAGGGCGTGGACATGATGTGCCTGTCGGCATCCGTCAGCCACTTCCTCAACGCCTACCTGTCGTCGTGTCAGCAGGCGCACCCGCCGCTGCCGGCCGACGAGCTCAACCCCAAAAACTCCAAACGTGAGTACTAACTAACTGGGATCCTGAAGTGATCCGGTCTGTGTCAAATCCATCCAGCTGGGCTTTAGTTAGATCATAGGTAATTGGCTTGCTCTTGAGTGCCGCCTGGCAGCTGTCACTTTTCCCAAGGAACGGCTCAAGTGTGATAGTAATATTAAAGATGTTTTTTGTTTGACGAGCGATTAACAAATCTCAACGTTAACAGCTGAATTTGTTCTCCCAGTATATTTATCACTAGCATATTCTGAATTAGCGGTCTACCTGCAATGTAAACCGCTTGGTCTATTCGGCGGGGTTGTAATTCGAAATGATGCAACGAAATGTATTCCAGCAGGATAGCCATTATCACATTGATCCTGTTATGTAATGCTACCGGTTCCGCACGCTTCCCCAGTTTTTTTTTTTACACTTGCTTATCTTCCTTGTGCACGATTCCATTGCCAGTTTGCTGCATTGCACTCTTTTCACGTGAATTGCTCTTGGTTGTTTTGTACCTGTCTGTTGCCTTTTTTGCGGATACTCGCGTTGATTGCGTTTTTAGTTTTCCTACGCTGTACCGGTCTTGCAGGCTGCTTCCCTCATCGGTCTCGAACGCTCCCCCATTTTTTTGCACTTGCTCATCTTCTTTGTTCTCTGGTTCCCCTGGTTTTATCGGTCTAGCCGTACCTTCGGCCCAAAGACCGGGGAGAGGATGTCTGGGCGTTGAGGGGGCTGCCCTGCGGGTTAGTCGGGGCAGCCTTCCAACACATGCCTTTGGCGCCAATCCCCGGATCTGCGGGATGCCCCATGTTGGCCTCGCATGAGGGAAATCGGCCGGTCAGGCGTCGCCCTGTGCGGCACTGGCTAATCGGGGTCAAGGGGGCTGGGCGACGGGTATGCGGGGGGCTGCCGCCGGTTGCAGGGGCCGCCTGATTCCTTCAGCGCGGGGCTTAGCGCCACCGTATCCATGTCCGCGCGGGGGATCAGGTCCGGTCCCGTGCCGCATGGCTCTGCGGCGGCCGCGGCTCACGCGGCCCCGTACCCGGCGGCTTCGTCTTGCTGCTTTTGGCGTCCCGGCCCCCGTATAGTCCTGCAGTACTCCTGGCGGACCACCACCCTACGGGGGAGTGTGGCCGTCCCCCAGTTGGGCTCCGAGGTGGGTGGGAGGCTGCGGGACCGAAACAATTACACTTTCCATGGATTCTCACTTGGCACCCCCACGGACCACAGCCCCGGCTGAACCCCTTGCACCTAGTGCAGTCGGTGGAGCACGACCAAAAGTTCTTATATTCACATCCGACGAACGAAAACTCGCGTCGCTGTCTCCCTTTCAGAGACGAGAGGGCTGTGACAGATTTGGTAAGATTGCGAGGTGTGAAAAACTTAGAGACGGAGGCATCGAAGTAGAGTTTGTTGACGATAGAGAGGCGGAAAGGGCCCTGAAAGCTACTCACTTCACATACACAGTTAAGGATCAGCAGGGCAGGAAGGAAGTAAACCTTTCGGTCAGCGTTTCGCCGCATCGCACGAAAAATTCCAGCCGAGGGGTCATTTTTTGCGACGATCTGGAGGGCATGCAAAACGACGAGATCGCCGAAGGCCTGTCACAGTTTGGGGTCTCCGCCGCCCGCCGCATCTACACCAAGAGAAGTGGCGCTCTCGCACCCACGCACAGTATCATTCTGACTTTCAACTCGCTGGAACTGCCGAGGGAGGTGATGATAGGATATCTGTCCGTGAAAGTTCGACCATAGGTATGTCCCGAGTCCCATGCGTTGTTTTCAGTGTCTTCGATTCGGTCACACTCGAGACAGCTGTCGGAACAGACCGGCATGCGGGAGATGTGCGGCAACTGATCACAGCAGTGCCGAGTGCTCGTCGTCTGAGTTGAGATGCGTCAATTGTGACGACTCTCAGACTCCACATTCCTCGTTTGATGGGCGATGCCCGGCCTTCCAGAGAGAAAAAGAAATAATGTCCCTGAAGGTCACCGAAAGGCTGTCATTTCGTCAGGCCCGAGACCGCTTTGCTGCCCTCCATCCCAAGCGGTCTTATGCTAGTGTGGCCAACGGTTCTAGACAGCGCTGCCCCACTGAAACTGATGCCAACAACAGCATCGGTCAGTTAATAGCGATTCTGAAGTCATTCGGATTTTGTTTTGTCCCAGATGCCAACAGTCACAGCAACTCATCAGTTCAACAGGAGCCCTCTAAAGCGTCGTCGTGCACCGCCACACAGACGTCACCAAGCAGGAAGCAGGAGGAGGAGTGGACCCTCGCCCGGGGTCGTCGCCGGGGCCCGGTCTCGCCACTGCGCCCCGCTGAGCGGGCCCCGGGCACGTCTGCTGAAGTGCACCGACCCCCGCCAAGGGAGACTGCAGTAATGGCTGCGCTGCGCCGCGGTCAGGAGGAACGGTTAGAGCAGGACGCCAGACGGGAACGCCGGATTGCCCAGGCTCTTGAGGAGCGTCGAGTGTCTTCGGCCCATAGAGGCTCTGATGCCCGGGGGCAGCCCCGTCGCCTCTGCTGGGACCTCCCCCTACTCCTCCGCCCCCTCCTCCACCTCCGCCTCCTCCACCTCCGCCCCCACCTCCCCCACCTCCCCCACCACCCCCTCCACTTCCTCCGTTCCCACCGCCCCCACTGCCCCCCTCACAGCGTCCCTCCGGTGCCCCTCCGGCGCCCTCCACGGGCGAGGTGTCTGGGTCTCGGCCTCCTCCGTGCACGCCACCTTCGGAACCGAGACCGGCGGGGCCGCCGCCCGCCCCAGGCCGCCCCACGAAGCGCACACTTCCGTGGGAGCTATCGCCGACAAACGACGGTAGCCCCCGCTCGCGGCTGAAGTTTCAACCGGGAGCTACCGGCCGTCCTAGGTCTGCCGATGGAAGGCTCCGCGAGGGCCGTCCAAAGGTGGTCTTTGGTGGTAGCCCGGGCCCCGGCGGCGAGGAGCGTTTTTAAGTCCTCGCCCTCTTTTAACACAAGCCAAAGTCTACAGTTTTAGACACCTTCCGCTTACCTAAGCGCTCAAAACTACAGCTATAGCACATTTTATCCTGCAGTGGAATTGTAGAGGTTTAAAACCAAACTTCCAGGACTTGCAATCGGTCATACGTGGGCGCAACCCCTTCATAATCTGTCTCCAGGAGACCAAGCTGGCGCCAACTATGACTTGCACCATCAGGGGCTATGCCGTCTTCCGCAGGGACCTGCATTCGGACACTATAGCACATTGTGGTGTCCTCATAGCAGTGCACCACAGTCTGCCAGTCACACCGCTCCTACTGAACTCTCCTCTGCAAGCAGTAGCTGTGAGAGTGCACCTATACCGCCGGGAAGTCACAGTCTGTTCGCTATACCTCCCTCCTGGTACAGCTTTCCCGGAGGCAGAACTGCGCCACCTTCTCTGTGAGCTCCCGGCACCAGTCCTTGTGGTGGGCGACTTCAACGCTCATAGCACGGTATGGGGATGTGATCACATCGGCCCACGTGGTCGTGCCTTAGAAAGTTTTATTTGCGATGAGTCGCTCTGTATTTTAAATACAGGGCAGCGAACCCATTTTACTCTGCCTTCCGGCCAAACATCGGCGCTTGACCTGAGTTTGGCAAGTCCGCTTCTAGCTCACCTCTTTACTTGGTCGGTACATGACGACCCACTCGGCAGTGACCACTTTCCAGTGTGGATTGCGTACCAGGATACCCCGACACTGGGGAAGCGCCCACAACGGTGGAACCTGCATAAAGCCGACTGGGCCGAGTTTTCCGTTTTGACGGAAACCTCGTTGTCCAGTGCCGACGGCTGTATTCCATCGGCGGAAGCTTTTACGTCTTTACTTTTAAGCTCCGCCGAAGCGTGCATCCCTAAGACATCAGGACAGCCCCACCGCACTCCCGTCCCTTGGTGGACGGAAGAGTGTAGGAACGCAATCCGAGCACGGAAACGCGCCTTCAAGCAGTTTAACCGAAACAGCACCATGGAGAACCTCATCGCTTTCAAAAAAGCGCGGGCTTTTGCACGACGCACAATCAAAGAGGCAAAGATCAGATCATGGCGCACCTACGTTAATTCTTTAAACCGGTTTACTCCGACGAGCCAGGTGTGGTCACGCATAAAGCGCATCTCTCGGGACGGCTCAGCTCTTCTCCACTTCCGACTCTGAGGGTGAACAACTCTGATATAATACATCCTTTTGATGTCGCGGAGGCTATAGCTAGAACACTCTCAGAGCGCTGCCGGGGTGACGCTCCCTCGCAGCCCGCACTAGGGCGAGCCCGACCCCAGCTTGGCTTGGCGGATTTTTCCACTGACGAACATATAGAATATAACGAGCCTTTTACAATGACTGAACTGAAGCACGCCATATCCTCGCTTCGAAGTGTCGCCGAGGGCCCAGACGCCATTCACAATTCCATGTTGAAGCACCTTCCTTCTATCGCCCTGGAAACACTGTTAGCGATATTTAACTCGCTATGGGAGAGCGGTTTGTTTCCTGCAGCATGGCAAGAGGCCACGGTGATCCCCAAGCCTGGCAAGTCGGGACTTGACCCACTTCACTACCGTCCTATCTCATTGACCTCTGCTCTTTGCAAGTTGATGGAGAAGATGGTGAATGCTCGCTTGAGTTGGTTTCTGGAACATAACGACATTTTTACGGACGCGCAGTGTGGTTTCAGGAAACACCGCAGTTCAGTTGACCATATCTTAGCTCTTGACACTGAAGTGAGGACCGCTTTTACCGAAAAGAAACATCTTGGGGCCATCTTTTTTGATATTGAGGCTGCTTACGACACAGTTTTACGGCAGATCATCTTGAGGAAGCTTCTCAGCTATGGTATCCGTGGCTGTATGGGCTTTTTCATTTGCAACTTTTTATCTTATCGCACCTTTCGTGTCAGGGTTGGAAACCACTTGTCCAGCTCCCACCTTCAGGAGAATGGTATTCCACAGGGAGGCGTCTTGAGTGTGGCACTTTTTGCTATCATGATTAATGACATTGGCGACAGACTCCCAACGGCTATAGGGAGATCCCTTTTTGTCGACGATTTGGCGGTATGGTTCTCCGCCTCAAGTGCGTGGCACACGTCGCGACAACTTCAGCTTGCTGTGACGCGTTTAGAAAAGTGGAGCAAGGATAATGGCCTTAAGTTCTCAACTTCAAAGACTGTGGCTGTTCACTTTTGCCGCCGCCGCTGCCACGATCCTGATCTTGGAATCCGCCTCTACGGGCGAAATATCCCCACGCAGCCGGCTGCAAAGTTTCTTGGTGTTGTTTTGGACAGACGTCTGACGTACAACGAGCATTTTAAAACTCTTCGTGAGAGATGTTTTAAAACTCTAAATATTTTAAAATGTGTATCACGTACGTCGTATGGAGCTGACCGACGAACCTTGCTTTTACTTTACCGCTCTCTGGTACGTTCAAAGCTCGACTACGCAAGTTTCATTTATGACAGCGCCAGCGAGTCGCGTAAGAAAATGCTTGACACCATTCACCATGCCTCACTTCGCGTTGCTACGGGTGCTTTCCGTACTTCGCCAACAAGCAGCGTTCTGGCTGAGGCTCACGAGCCACCGTTATCTCTCCGTCGCCAGATGTTGGGCATGCGGTATGTTTTAAAACTTCGTCAATTTCCCTCGCACCCGGCATACCCGTATGTCTTCTCGCGAGAGATCAGTCGGTCTGACAGAGTGGCTGGTCGATCGACTTCCTTCGGTGGACGTATGCAAGCTCTCTTCTCAAAAGCAAACATTTCTCTTCGCGGCGTGAGGCGCACATGGAGCGCGCCCTCGCCGCCCTGGAGAAATGCGTATCCACGAATCGATCTTTTACTGACAGACATCAGGAAGGACGATCAGCCGCCATGCACACTACGAGCACGGGCGCTGGAACACATTGCCTCATATGATGGTTTTACCTCGGTTTTTACAGACGGCTCGAAAACAGAACATGGTGTCGGCTGCGCTTTTGTGACTGGTCATGACACACGCACATTCTCTTTGCCAACTTCTGCCTCTGTTTTTTCTTCCGAGCTCGTTGCGATTGAGAAGGCTTTGTGTTTTATCGAGGTGTCTGACAGCTCCTGCTATCTGATCTTGTCAGACTCCCTTAGCAGCCTCTTATCTTTACGGAGTTTTAATCCAGACAACCCGATAGTACAAGACATTTTATCTCGTCTTACGTCGGTGGAACGAGCAGGTAAATTCATCCAGTTCTGCTGGATACCGAGCCATGTGGGCATAAGAGGCAACGAGCTTGCCGACGCGGCCGCAAGACGCGCGGCCGCGGCCCCCTGCCTCCGTCGTTTGCCTCTGCCGGCTCGCGATTTTTACCCAGCCGTTCGATCTTTTACGACGTTTAGCTGGGAGACAGAGTGGCGTCTCCATGGATCCGAGAAGCTACGAAAGGTGAAACCTACTCTGGAGCCCTGGCAGTCCTGCTTTCAAGGCAAAAGACACCATGAAGTGGTCCTCTGCAGACTACGGATAGGGCATACGTATGCAACGCATGGCTATCTCCTCCGTGGAGATGATCAACCAACATGTAGCCATTGTGCCGTGCCGCTCACAGTCACTCACATTTTCTTAAGTTGCCCGCATCTCGAACCAAACCGGACACGCTGCCTCGCCCGCATTGCCCCAGGCACCACCATTCGCCACCTGCTGGGTGATGACTCACCCTGGGTTTTATCCGGCAGCATCTTTTCTTATATTCAATCCATCAGTTTTCCTGTGATATACTCGTTTTACTAGTATAACGTATCTCAAGTAGTCCTAGTCTTCTTCAGTTCGTCAGTTCTCTGTTGACATATCCGCTTTACCAGTACAGCATTATGGGCGCAAAATGACCACCGCAGTCGACGCGCCCGTAAACCCCAATGAACGAACGAAGATAATGTCCGCCAATGTCAGTGTTCCTGTCACTGGTAACATAAAGCCGCTGTTACTGTCATTCGGGTGGGACGATTGAATGCGGAGCATTTGTGATGATTACTGCGGGGTCGGGGATACCACAGATGATGCTGATCGCTTAGATGGTGCGGTAAAGTATGGTTTGGTAAAGTATGGTATGGTAAAGTATGGTTGTCTTGGAAAAAGTACAGAAGAAGGGTGTGTTTATTCCGACATTTAAGACGGTTTAGCCGTGACGGTCTGTAATCTAGGTTACCGAGTGTTTTCCAGACGTAGGGCTCCTATTTCGATTATCAGCAGACAACGCTGACTCACGTCGCTGAGTGACCCCGCGCTGTTGTAAAGTAAAAAAATGCTTTAATTTTGTCACAGCAATCTTGAATGTTGTACAAACTTTGTTTTTGTTCCCCCTCCCCCCTCTGCCGAGACCACATATCTGTGAACTAATCATGTCGGCCGTCCCCAAATCTCTCCGCCCCGCCCGCGTGTCTGACCCGCCGGCCGTCCCTCGCTGACGATCCCGTCTGTCGTCGCAGGCAAGAACAAGCGGCGCGCGCGCCGGCCGCTGACGGCTCCGGAGAGCACCGACTGGGCGCTGCTGACGCCGCGCGGCCTCTGGGCCCAGATCCGTGACGAGCTGCTCAACTACTTCAACTGGCAGCTCGGAGCCGACAGCGTCGACGCCACCGTTGCCAAGTACAAACTGCAGAAAGTGTCTCTGTTCAGGTGAGTACAAACTGCAAAAGGTGTCCCTGTTCAGTTTCTGGACAGGCCACCTTGTTCGACTGTAGTTTCCATTTAAAAATCATGTCACGGCTGTGCGCTGCATGCGGCAGTCGCCCACTTATTTGAGCAGTCTGTTTAGTCTCGCTCTGACCACCCCTGTCCCCGTGCCCAGGTCGTTCTGCGTGGCCACGGGCGTGCAGCTGCTGCTGCGCGACTACAATATGGACGCGCGCAGCCGGCCCTGCTTCTCCGAGGAAGATGTGCTCAACATTTTCCCCGTCACCAAGCACATCAACCCACGCGCCTCGGACGCCTACACGTTCTACACCACCGGCCAGACCAAGATCCAGCAGGGCTACCTCAAGGAGGGCCACGAGCTCATCACGGAGGCGCTCAACCTGCTCAACAGCGTCTACGGCGCCATGCACCCAGGTAGGTGGGACTGGGACGGGAGATAGGTTTGGATTTGGTGTTATGGGGCGCATCAGCATCGAGGCTACATGGCAGGCGCGCGCACAGGATTTCTGAATGGAGGGGGGCCCCACCTGCGAAATGGGCCCCTCACGCGGAGAGGCCCTAGTCCCAAGCCTAAAAAGTTGTCCTACATGAACTCAAAGGCCTGCTGGGGCCCAAAATGGGCACTCCTCGTCATTCAATTATCATTTCAGCTAATTTTTAGACAGTCTTTGGCAGTCTTAACTCTAGGACCATCTGATGGGGCCCATTTGAGGACCAGCTGAGGTTCGGCCGCCTCAAATGCCCCCCCCCCCCCCAATTCGAATGGGGAGGGCACAGGCCAGTGTGCCCCCCTCCCCCTTTGTGTGCGCCCTTGCTATAGGGCAATCAGTTTGGTGGGCTGTGGAGGGGATGAAGAATGTCTGCTGGCAGGGTTTAGACTTCAGTGTTACCTAACAAATTTCTCCTCCGTCGTTAATTCTACAGATAACTTCGTTACAGGAAACGTAACTGCGAGTCGCCAGCCTGTTTGTATACGAGGGTATGAACTACTTTCTCGCTTGGTCCTTACGGTGTTTGAGGCCACGTTGCCCAAGCATCGGTGGTTCAGTGGTAGAATGCTCGCCTGCCACGCGGGCGGCCCGGGTTCGATTCCCGGCCGATGCATTTTCGCTGTTCTTGCTGGCTTCAGAGGGTGCGCTTCGCCTTTTTGCATTGCTACGTTCCAGAGCGGTTGGTTATCAACATTTTGTCGCACTTTGTCATTGTTGCATCCCAATGTGGCTCAGTAGTCAGTTCTCTTGAAAGTCCGTTTGACAGCCGCATCATCTCGTGCCGTGTTTTGCAGAGATCGCCCAGTGCCTACGGATGCTGGCGCGACTCAACTACATCATGGGCGACCACCAGGAGGCGCTGCAGTACCAGCAGAAGGCCGTGCTGATGAGCGAGCGCGTCAACGGCATCGACCACCCCTACACCATCGCCGAATACGTGAGTGGCGCCGAGCCGGGAGCCCCAGTCCCGCGACGTCGCTGTCTTGTGGCCGGCTGTCCTGTAATGTAATGGGTGGTAGTTCTGGCATGTAGCTAGCGCTAGCCTGTACTCAATCTAGACATTTGACGTGTGTGGTCGGCGCCGGCAGACGCACCTGGCGCTGTACTGCTTCGCCAACGGCCAGGTGACGACGTCACTGAAGCTGCTGTACCGGGCGCGCTACCTGATGCTACTCGTCTGCGGCGAGGACCACCCCGAGATGGCACTGCTGGACGTGAGTAATCTCCCCCCCCCCCCCCCCACACACACACACATATACACACGCAAAATGACCTTTGCTGTCGGCGCGCCCTAAAGCCCCAATAAACAAACAAACAAACAAACATATATACCTACACTACACACATACTGAGGACCACCTCGAGATGGCACTGCTGGACGTGAGTACATCCCCTTTCCCCTCCCTGGATGTGAGTATTCCCTCTCGTCGCTGAGGCTACCCACACGAGATGGAGCTGCTCGATGCAAGTAACTACCTGACGGCCCCCTTTCTTTGAATTTCGGACTTTCGGTTACCCCAAGAACCCATGATGCTGGATATCGGTGCTAGACTTCTAGGCGTTAACATATCCTCCGACCTGAATTGGCAAGCACACGTGGATGATATAGTAAAAAAAGCATCGAAGGCCCTGTACATGATTTACATTTTGAAGAAATATACAACATCAAAGGACCAGCTGGTAAAAACATACACTACGTACATTCGTCCATTGCTGGAATACTGTGCGCCTCTTTTTCATGCAGGGCTAACAGCCAAGCAAGCAAGCCAACTTGAAAAGGTTCAAAAACGAGCACTTAAATTGATCGGCGGACTTGACCTATCATATAGACGGCTTCTTGAGACACTGAAGCTGGAGTCACTGGCAGACAGAAGGGAGAAGTTATGTCTAAAACTGGCGAAGCAAATGCTACACTCTGCTAACCATAGATTAAGCCTATTCCCACCTGAAAGAGGAGCAATATCTGGTAGGGAAACAAGAAATTCCCAAACGCTGGAAAACTCCGCTGCAGCGCCAGATTGCGCAACTCAAGCGTGCCACACATGACCTCGTTGATTAATAGGGACATGGCGATCTAAAGATGCTCCTTACCACACGTGCATACCCATTGAAACCGTGTTTAGCTGTGTGATGTGTTTGTCGCAGCGACCGCTGCGGTGACCGGCAGAGGCTGCTGTCTGCTGTCCCAGCGCGGGCGGCATTTTCCCGCTGGGACTATGTGTACCTGCACTTACTTGACAACGGCTCCTTTAATCACGTTCTTAAACGCCACACGTGCATGGCGTATACGAGCTATATGAGCTCCTGAGCTCGAAGCCGTATAGTGTTTGTACATCAAATATACCGTCTCTCTCTCTCTCTCTCTCTCTCTCTCTCTCTCTCTCTCTCTCTCTCTCTCTCTCTCTCTCTCTCTCTCTCTCTCTCTCTCTCTCTCTCTCTCTCTCTCTCTCTCTCTCTCTCTCTCTCTCTCTCTCTCTCTCTCTCTCTCTCTCTCTCTCTCTCTCTCTCTCTCTCTCTCTCTCTCTCTCTCTCTCTCTCTCTCTCTCTCTCTCTCTCTCTCTCTCTCTCTCTCTCTCTCTCTCTCTCTCTCTCTCTCTCTCTCTCTCTCTCTCTCTCTCTCTCTCTCTCTCTCTCTCTCTCTCTCTCTCTCTCTCTCTCTCTCTCTCTCTCTCTCTCTCCTCTCTCTCTCTCTCTCTCTCTCTCTCTCTCTCTCTCTCTCTCTCTCTCTCTCTCTCTCTCTCTCTCTCTCTCTCTCTCTCTCTCTCTCTCTCTCTCTCTCTCTCTCTCTCTCTCTCTCTCTCTCTCTCTCTCTCTCTCTCTCTCTCTCTCTCTCTCTCTCTCTCTCTCTCTCTCTCTCTCTCTCTCTCTCTCTCTCTCTCTCTCTCTCTCTCTCTCTCTCTCTCTCTCTCTCTCTCTCTCTCTCTCTCTCTCTCTCTCTCTCTCTCTCTCTCTCTCTCTCTCTCTCTCTCTCTCTCTCTCTCTCTCTCTCTCTCTCTCTCTCTCTCTCTCTCTCTCTCTCTCTCTCTCTCTCTCTCTCTCTCTCTCTCTCTCTCTCTCTCTCTCTCTCTCTCTCTCTCTCTCTCTCTCTCTCTCTCTCTCTCTCTCTCTCTCTCTCTCTCTCTCTCTCTCTCTCTCTCTCTCTCTCTCTCTCTCTCTCTCTCTCTCTCTCTCTCTCTCTCTCTCTCTCTCTCTCTCTCTCTCTCTCTCTCTCAATCGGTATGTGTCGCAAATTCTCTTCATTTTCATTATTATTCCGTGGGCTCGAGTGAATATACCGCCACCTCTCCTCATGGTGTTGACCCAACGTCTGACCGCGCGCTCTCGTCGATAGCCACACCTTGCCTCTCGCCCCTCCCCTTCCCCTCTTACCGCACCCCATCTCTGACCACACGACCCCACCTTTCTGCTGCAGTGTGCGACTGCGGAAATCTGCAGTTCCGCATATGACGTCGTTGCTCAACGCGGATAAACGCCTGCAGTGATTTCGCTGCTTACTTTCAAAGTGCTACTGGTGTCTGAGCATTGCATTGCATATCCCATGTGCTGTATGAGTTAACACTCAAAGCCATGTCTATGAAATATACCGCATCTCTCTCTCTCTCCCTCTCTCTCTCTCTCTCTCTCTCTCTCTCTCTCTCTCTCTCTCTCACACTCTCCCCACCCGCCTCTGCAGAGTAACATCGGTCTGATCCTGCACGCGGTGGGCGAGTACAGCCTCTCCCTGCAGTTTATGGAGCACGCGCTCCGGCTGAACCGCGAGTACCACGGCGAGCGCAGCCTCAAACTGGCAGTGGCCCACCACCTGGTGGCCAGGACCCAGAGCTGTCTGGGAGACTTCCGCGCCGCGCTGCAGAACGAAAAGGAGACGTTCGCCATCTACAAACAGCAGGTCAGCAGCGGCGGGTGATACCGTGCGGGGGGAGTGGCACAGTCGAATTTATGATGCGTGATATAAGGTGCTTGTTCTAGTGTAGATAGTCATGATTACAACTTGGATATTTTATGATTTATATGCGCCGATTTCAAAGAAATTGACGGATGGACGTCTCGCTAACATTTAAAGCCAATTCCTAAAACGGTTGAATCGCCCAATGCTGAATGCACCATGGTTTTCTAATAAGTTTTTGACCATGGTTATTAATTTAAGAGAGACTATCGAACGGCTGTATCGATAGCGGATGCATCCACTTACCAAGTGTAACAAACCCGCAAAACATGCCCTGGCTGACCCGTGCGTTAGTCACGGCCGCTGACCCTCTATATCGTCCCTCAGCTGGGTGAGGAGCACGAAAAGACCAAGGAGTCGTCCGAGTGTCTGCGCCACCTCACCCAGCAGGCCGTGGTGCTACAGAAGAAGATGAACCACATCTACAGCGGCAAGGCGGGCGCCGCCCTGCCGCCCATCCAGATCCAGTCGCCCAGCATGGGCTCCGTGCTGGACATGCTCAACATCATCAACGGCATCCTCTTCGTCCAGATCAGGTGCGTGACTTTGGAGTTTTACCAATAGAAGTGTAAAGAATTAATGTAGCAAACTAGACGTGCACAAGAGCGCGTTAATCAGAGCTTGATTATTTATTTCTGGTTGTTGATTTTTTATAGCAGCGTTTCCACCACTCGCGATTTTAAAGTACGCTTGTTGTCAAACAGACGCCTTCGCTCCCCTGTTTACTGGCGAGGTAAACTCTGTTTACCTCGCCCGTCTCTCACAATCAGCCCGTCAGCCCCTTCCCCCAACTTACACGTCTTGGAAGGGCGTTTGCCCCTCCTCCGACGCTGAAAACTGACCCCACCCCTTCTCTTGTTTCTACCCACAGTCAGCAGGACATTGAGAACTTCAAGGCCGAGTTCGAGAAGCGCACTCAGCAGCTTCAGAGCGTCAAGTCCGGGGCGGGTGGTGGTGCGGCCACTGTAACCGCCATCGAGGCGCCGGCCGCCGCCGCGCCCGCGCCATCCTCATCATCGCCGCCGCTCTCGTCACCCGAGGGCAGCAGATGAGGCCGGTCCCGGGCCGCGAGCACTCGGCCGACACCATCCCGACAGTCTAGTTTTGATAGATTATTTTCGCGGCTGCCGTCGCGGTCAGAGTTATCATGCCTCATCGATTTGGGCGCCGGCGCAGAGCGATGCGCGGCGTGAGCGGCTGTGGCCCGCCGCGCTGGCGTCCGAGCACGCTGCGCGCGGGGCTGGTGCAATGTTTTCTAAGTCACCCGGCGTCGGGCCGGCCGGGTGACCGGCGGCAGGGGCGGCGCGGCGGCGGCGCCGAGCCGGCGGCGGAGGCCGTGTATGGCCGTGTCCGCCGGCCCGCGCGCCCGCTGCCGTGCTGGCCGCGACTGGCCGCTGTCGGCTGCCGCCCGCCGCCGATGTCAGCAGACCTCGGGACGGCGGTGGGGCGGCGGCGGCGCGGCGCGGTCGTGTGCCGCCGGCCGCGGACCGCCGCCGGCGCTGGCTCTCACAGCCCTGCCGGCGGCGCGCGGACGGCGGCGGCCGGCCGCCGGGGGTCCGGCCGGCCGCGGACTCACGGGCCGGGAGGCTGCCAGTGGCACGGCTCAGGGGGGCCGGGATGCCCGCATCAGCTGTGAGAGTGCCAGTGAGAGCGAGTGTGAGAGTGAGCGTGAGAGTCGCATAGGTCGGACCATGGTGCTTCCTGATCCTAATGGTCGCCCAGCAATACAAACGATAAACCGACCCCGGGCGTTTGTGGCCTGTGGCCAATACTGGCCTGCTATCATTGAATGCGGAAATTTCATGGAGGCAGAACTTTATATGATGACGCGCTGGACAGCGTGTAAACAATGGTCTTCACCGATCGGGATTGACGGCTGCGGTGACTGCACTGCCGTTGACTACAGTGGTCAGATAAGATCAGGGCCGGGGCAACACATCGCAACTCAACTCCGCGATAATCTGAGGCGCGTAACAGATAACTAGTAAGATTGCCGATATTGGAGGTATGAGTTGGACTTATTGTCTGCTGTCCTGCTGAGTAGGCTCGTGGCTATGAGCTGAACGACGCCGACCGTCTGGGAGTCAGCAGAGACATGTTGCGCTTCTGAGATTGGAGATTGGAGGTATGAGTTGGACTTATTGTCTGCTGTCCTGCTGAGTAGGCTCGTGGCTATGAGCTGAACGACGCCGACCGTCTGGGAGTCAGCAGAGACATGTTGCGCTTCTGAGATTGGAGATTGGAGGTATGAGTTGGACTTATTGTCTGCTGTCCTGCTGAGTAGGCTCGTGGCTATGAGCTGAACGACGCCGACCGTCTGGGAGTCAGCAGAGACATGTTGCGCTTCTGGGCCGCCAGGGGCGCTGACGATGCTATCCATCACGCAGCGGCCGAACTGTTCAGATCCATTCAGAGGCACGCTGCACTGATGATGTGCCCCCTGCTCCCATAGAGGACCGTCCAGGTAGGGCTGCATACTGCATAGTGCATAGAGCTGGATGTCTTAGCTGGACTGCCTCATGCATACATTCTAGGGTAGCGTTACGTAATCAGTATTACGTAACGTGAGATGCAGTTCCCCCAATGAGATGACACTCTGCTTCTAAAACTAATTGCAGTGCATATATAATAATATGATTAGTCATAGGGCCAACGTATTACGTAACGTAGTATCGCGACTTTCCGCGACCCGTGTCATACCGTATGACGGTTAGCATTGCCTTCCCTTGCCTATCCAACTCTAGTCCGTGTGTGCGGAGGAAGCAGTCCTCTCCAGAGAAGACCCAAATACATCCAATACCTTCCGTTCATATATTGTACACCGCGATATATGCACTCACAGTCTACGGCGCGCGTCTCCCGGCCATCACCGGCTATGTCCCGGTCTGTGGGCCGCGGAATTCGGCGCCGACTACTGCTCTGCGCCACCGCCGCCGCTGCCACCCGCCCCGGGGACGAGAGCGGAGCCCAGAGAGGGCGGCCCACCGGCCCCCGTCCGCACCGGCGCGGCACAGCGAACCGACGGGGCCAGATTTAGCCGTCAGGTGCCCGCTTCTTCAATGCGTGTGTCACGTCACAGTCCTGAAACAAAACACATGGTTATGTAATCGGTGGCTTGGACTGTGAGCTGAGACAACAGGGCCGTCTCGCCGACAGGTTATAACGGAAAGGATCGGTGTGATTAGCGTGTCCCTGACCTCCCGTTATATTTTCGTCAGCATAAGAAGGCAAGAGGAGCGGCCCCGGTGACCCCGGTCAGAGACATATTACGCAACAGCTGCAGTGACGCAGCAAAAAGTCGGCGCCCGATGAATCACCATACGCCTGCTGCCAAGTGCCCACACATGTTCCAACCTGCCTCAAATATCTACTTTCCGCATCTTGAGCTTGTCGTGTTTAGTTCTTTAAACACAGATGCACTAAAACTTTAACGTCATGTTACCATCACTTGTCACTCACTGTTGGTGGCCTTGCACTGGCGCAGCGCCTCGTTGAAGCCCTCGCAGAGTGAGATGTCCGACTGGCCCTGGGCACACTGCAGGAACTGTTTGATCTCCCAGGCGCACGGGCCGCTGGGCTCGCTGGGGCCGCTCGGTGCCGCCGCGGCGGGGTAGAGTGGCGCCGGCGCCGCCGGAGCGGCCGCCACGGGCGCTGCTGCGGCCTCAGCGGCCGCCGGCGCCGAGGAGCCACCGCCGCCGGTCAGTGCGTGGCCCACCACGTGTCCGACCGTGGAGCCGATGGCCACTCCGCCGGCGGTGGCGGCCATCTGACCCATCAGCCCCGGGCCCTGGGACGGAGCCGACATCATGGGTGCCGGCGGGTGGGCCGCTGGTGCCGCCGCCGGCACAGAGCTGCGGAAGGAGGGCGGACGGTCAGCGGTCTGATACGATCACTGTACCAGTCGGGACAGGGACAGCCGGAAGGAGATCACATCCGTTCACCATCCCAGTCAAGGTAGTCATGTAGGCGGTACGAATTTTACGGCTCCGTGAATTAAAGAATATGGCTACTGTTCTGTATGACATGATCCAACTAATTATAGACTAATAAAAAAAGCAGCTGAGGAGTCCTCCGATGTTTCGAATAGCAAGCTCAAAATAAAATATCACCGACCGAATTATTACATAACATTACATTACAGTGCACCCAAAGTCTGTAGGAAACACCCCACATTTAGCAAACATGCCCCTCTGCCTCAGGAGGGAGCAGCTCACCTGTGTGCTGGGGCGGGGGCGGGGGCGGGTGCCGGCCGGGGAGGGGGCGCGGCCGCCCGCGCAGGGGCGCGCGGAGCAGGCGCGGCGGCACGACCACGACGAGGCATCCTCTGCAAAAGAACACATTTTGTTGATTATTTGAGCACAACAGACATTCTGATTTCTGACACCCCATCAGAATGTCACTATTTAAAGGCATTGCAGGTGTGTTAGGATTGGGTTCTCTTTAGGTATGTACTTTGTGATGTTTTCTATGATACAGCTTTATAATGTTAAGCCTTAAATCAAAATACCTTTTTAAATGACTGTCTTCAATCACTTGATGGGTAGTCTGTAATATCACTGAATTTTGCATTTAAATGCAGTTTGCATAAGTATAGTCAACTACAGAATGATGTTCCACTTTTCACAGGCAGTTATTTGCCTGGAGTGGTAGGCTGTGCCACATTATACGGGCTGAGTTAACAAATTAAAGCTTTGCTCACAATCAACAAGCTTAATTGTGTGATGAATGGCACAACTTAGCACTCTGGTCAACTAATAGCTTCTGAGGAGTGGAACATCATTCTGTAGTCAACTATACAACATTATCTATATTATGATTTATCATTTCTAAAATGAAATGACAGCCTTTCAGCACAGCCTGGTGCTAATATTTTGACCTAGTCTTGTAGCCTGGCTGGTGTGAGCTGGTGGATCTTCTTCCAGGTTTGTCAACCTAATTGGTGAGGTTCGTCTGCTACAATGTATACTGGGCCCTGTTTCACCGCCCGACGCTGCGCGCGCTGCACTTGCAGCGCGCTGGGAGCTGAGGCATGCCCCTGACGTCATTTGAATGACGTTGAGTGCGATCCGTTAGCTTATGGTGAATCGCGTTTGGAACAGAGACCTTGTAGAACCTAGTACCAATTGAACAGAAGTTTGAGTGTGAATACTGCTAGCGTGCGGATGGTGCTGGCGCTGGGGTGCTAGCGTTTTGCGATGACGTCATAGTGAGGCGTCAGAGGGAAGTTTGTTGATATTGCCATGGAAACCCAACGCGCCGACGCGCGCAGCGCACTGCAGCGCTCCGCCGTGAAACAGGGCCCTGATATACAAATAGCCTGGCTGGTGGCTATCAAGATTACTTTACTACTCGTGGCTATGGCCTCTGATAGCCAGTCAATTGATTCTGGTCAGTGCCAGAGGTCTGTCCGAAATAAATCCCCGGCAATGCAGCAGAAGCAAGATTAGAGCACTTAATACAGGAAGTTACGCATCTCTGATAAATAGAAAACCACCCGAAAGCGGTTATTACCACGAATCCAATGAACTGAAGAGAATCACCAACTCGCACAAAATCCGAAATGTCAATGGGTATATAGGGCCTTGGGTCAATGAGCCTCGTGAGTCGAGTGAAAAATTATTTGCGTCATAAACGTCTTCACTGCGCATTTAGTGAGTTGTTCTCGAAAGGTCATATAGTGCTGTTTCATTTGCTTCAGAAACTAATAAAATTACTTTAAATTGCAGAGTGATCAGGGGGGCGACACGGCTATTCACGCAATGTAGTCATTTGCGGGACTCGCGGGGCCTCGCGATGACGCGGCTGGAGGCAACCACTCAGCGCGCTCGGATCCTTCTGGCGGAGCCGGGCGCCGTAAGGTGTGCAATGAATGGGCGGCAGACAGAGATGAGGTAGGTATTGAATTTGAAATGACATCATGAGCAATTGGATGGGGAGAGAGAACGTTTCTAATGGAGCTTGGGATGGGGGAAAACCAAAAATATCACGGTCGGTTCAGAGCTCCGACGGGGCAGGGCGCCGTACGGTGCGCAGTAATAGACGGGCAGACAGAGATGAGTTATCGGATTCGGCTCTCTGGTGGGATTTTAAGACGTTTTTAGTTAAGTTCAGGGTGGAGCAACCCGCTGGCGGATCCAAGAGGACAAATGTTATCCCCCACAGGCCCACATCCGGGGCAGCGTCCGAAATCGTTTTACGAGAATAAAACGAAAACTTCACAACTTTTCTGAGGAAAAGTTTATTGATCGAACTGCACAGTAGTGCACAAGGAATGAAAATCCGATGTTTTTTTAATTCACAGAAACCTTTTTTAGGGTATATGCCCCCGATGTGTTCAAGACCGCTTCCTGCACGGTATATAGGCTTCCTGGATCCGCCAGTTAAGAATATGTCACGGTCGATTATCGAGCTTCGGCGGGACTGGGCGCTGTATACGTCGTACCTACAATGAAGAGGCGTACAGACACCTTACCCCACATCCTACTGCTCTACCCGTACCTCTGGGCGAAGCAATGAAGCATAACGGAAGCCCACAGGACCTGCGAGTCGACGAGGTGGCCGCCGGATAGATACTGCAGCTCCCCGGAGTTGCCCGGGACCGAGGGCTTAACAGCAATTATGTAGGTAGAGATCATATCCTCAAGGACCTCCGTTACGATTTTATATTCCTAAACAATATGGCAGACCAATTATGCTTGCCTACGTTCAGGCATTATCCCTGATGCTTATCCGCCCACTACAACATGTGTTGTTTGTCTGTCAATCAACCATCGCTCGACGACGGGATCAATTCTAACCATCGGTATTCGGTTGTCAATTCACCCACCCCGTTTCCCTAAAAGTAGACGGGTCAGACTCGGCCTGGGTCTTAACGAGTCTTAGAATCGCCAGAGACGGGATCGGGTCGCCGTTATTGCACCGGTCTTGGCGTCTTTTGGTATATATAAAGTAGACAGCTTCGATCACGGACGTCGGACCGTTCTACGAATGTACGCACCATCCAGGCCTAAGATGCGTCGAGCTTTTTAAGAATGCAGTCTAGATCAATCAACATAACAATGGTGGTATGCAAACGCTTTAAAATCTCTCCCCGGCTCCCGCAACGTTCCAACGCTCCTCCGTTATACGCTCGCTCGATGCGTCCGCCGAACCGGCTTGCCTCCAATGACGTCATCGGCCGGCCGGCGGCGTTCAAGGTCAAACGGCTGGTGTCCTTACCTGGAGTTCTATAGCCTTGAGAGTGATATGCCACGATTTCCTAGATCAAAATTATTGAAGGCAAAAATATCCATTCCTATCCATATTCTGACATATTCGTTGCAGCATCATATCTATTTAGAGAAGGTACCAGCTGATCACCGCTTCTGCAGTGAGGAACGTGAGGAACCGGCGCGGTGGTGAGAGCGGTGAGAGGAGGCGAGGGAGGTACAGGATAGGTCAACTGACAGTTCAGAACCAGTTGGGTGAGGCATTGGTCAGTAGCCAGTAGGTACCTACCTATTTCATTTTCAATAGCTGCCTGGATTGGAGTTTTGCAAAGCAAGCACTTCAACTTGAGCTTAGCACTTAGCAGGTGTTAATTGGCATTTTTATAATAATAGTACCTTTTGGATTGTTACCCTCTCTCTCTCTCTCTCTCTCTCTCTCTCTCTCTCTCTCTCTCTCTCTCTCTCTCTCTCTCTCTCTCTCTCTCTCTCCTCTCTCCTCTCTCCCCCTCCCTCTCTTTCTCTCTCTCCCTTCCCTTCCCTTCCCTCCCCTCCTCTCTGCTCTCCCCTCCCCTCCCCTTCCCTTCTTCCCCTCCCACTCCCTTTCTCTCCTTTCCTTTCCCCTCCCTCTCTCCTTGTCTGTTGTCTGTCTGTCTGCAGAAAGTAGTGTGAAGTGTCGAATGACAGCCCACACACTTATCGTTGCCGTGACTTGGTTGATTTTCCAGCTGAGCCATGCCACGCATCGACACAGACGTGAAGCTCGACTTCAAGGATGTATTGCTGCGGCCCAAACGGAGCACCCTTCGCAGCCGAGCGGACGTGAGTAACGGAGGAACGACTCACCGATCACGGCCGTGAGTTTTACCGGCTGGTACCGACGTGAGTTACGGCCACCGATACGTGAGTTACTGACCGGCACTGACGTGAGTTCCCGACGACCGGACGCGACCGTTACGTCAGTTACCGGTCGAGAGTTACCGACCGGACGTCATTTAGCGACCGATACATACATCAGTTACCGACCAGCGTGAGTTGCCTAACAGACGTGAGTTATCGAGAGAGTATGAGGTACTGACCGGCAAATGGCGCCTAGGTTACCGACCGGACACTATTTAGTACCAACCGGTACGTGAGTTACCGACCGGACGACAGTTATCGACTGGTGCTCAGTTACCAGCCAGCTTGAGTTACTGAGCGGACGTGACTTACTGATAGGGTGTGAGTTACTGGCGTGAGTTACCTAGCATCTGCTGTGAGTTGTGGATCGGCAATGGCGTCAGGCGTGAGTTATCGAGTGGACGCGAGTTACAGAGCGGACGCGAGTTACAGAGTGGACGTGAGTTACCGCGCAAGTGTCGTGATAACGGTATAGAACTGGCGTTGCACCGTGGTTTGGGTGACATGTACCAGTTGTACCACTTACCAGGGTTTGTATATACTGCGACCTCCTGGAATTCTGGGGACATACCGTACCAACCACTGACCGACGTGGCGATGCGTCAACACTCAGCGTATCGTGTTACAATGACGGTGCAGATGGGCCGCGTGTGGTTGGTGACATGACCATTGACCGTATTTATCTTCCGTATCCTCTGATGCACTCGCCCCCGGGTCCGCCCGGTCACCGGTAGTCGCCTCTGACACGTTATCCGCCCCACCAGGTGTGCATGGAGCGGACCATCACGTTCCGCAACTCCAAGTTCAGTTGGACTGGGGTGCCGATCATCGCCTCCAACATGGACACGGTCGGCACCTTCGAGATGGCAGTCACACTAGCCAAGGTGAGAGATGGCCGTCATAACTCACGCTGGCCAAGGTGAGAGATGCGATGAGTGATGGCGGAACCCGTGGTATTGTCGTTGCAGTACATACAGTGAGCTGGAAGGGGACCATGACATGAGCTGCCATGACAGTCGGGAATCGGGATTACAATTTACTGCCGTGACAATAGAGACGTCCTGTACTGCCATGAAAGTCGGGACCTTACTGCTGTGACACTTGACAGTCGCGACTATACGAGTACTGCTGTAACCGTCGGGACCCGTACTGCTGTAAGAGTCGGAACTGCGGATATCCCTGGACTGCCAGACGCAAACACACGTTACCTACCCTGTGCTGTCTCCCTACCACCACTGACCTTTCTCCCTTCGCCCACAGCACAAGATGTTCACCACGATACACAAGCACTACCCGCTGGACGCCTGGCGTCAGTTCGCCGCTCAGCACCCGGACGTGCTCTATTACGTGGCGGCCAGCTCCGGCACGGGCGCCGCCGACCTGGAGAAGCTGTCGGCTATTCTGGAGGCGGTGCCAGGCGTGCAGTTCATCTGTCTGGACGTGGCCAACGGCTACTCGGAGCAGTTTGTCGAGGGGGTGCGCAAAGTGCGAGCGGCACACCCCCAGCACACCATTATGGTGAGTTCGAATGGGGGGGGGGGTGCGAGGGAAGGTAGTTGCTAGGATGTAGGGAAATGCTATTTGCCCTGGGCGATGTGGCTACCTTTTCCCCTTGTCTTTAAAGCGCGGTGGTTTAGTTTTCCCCGTAATATGTACTTAGGGTGTGTTATGATTTGAGATACTGATTAGTGATTACTTCGTGTGAATTTAAAATGGACCTCCACTGGGTATATTATACAAAATGGACTGACCTAGTGAGAAAACACGAATTGCTGACATTTTTAGAAGGCATTATCTTTGGTGTGTCACTGCAGTATTCCGTAATATATCCTAAAACAAACCGCCACATACGCCGCCAGTCACCAGTTCAGCCACCTGGCCTGCCCACCATCCGCCGCTGTCTGCCGGTAACTCATTTATGGCCTTCGATCGGCACTTTATTGCCGTCGATGGTATCGCCTATTGATACGGCCCTGGCCTTATTGGAGCTCAATTTCCAATGTGCCTGCTGTGGTACAGCGATAATACGTCCCGGGGCAGGCCTGACACATGACGAGTGCTGTCCACCCAGTTCCCTATCTCCCGTCCCTCTCCGGCAGGCCGGTAACATTTCATGTCTCCCTGCCGCTCCGGCAGGCTGGTAACTCCCCCTTTCCGTTCTGGCAGGTCGGTAAAACCCTGATAACCCCCACCCTCCTATGGCAGGTTGGTAAAACTCTGGTAAGCCTCCCAACCTCCCATGGCAGGTTGGTAAACCCCTGGTAACCCAACCACCCTCTGGCTGGTAACCACTCTCCTTCCCATTACAGGCGGGTAACGTGGTGACCGGTGAGATGGTCGAGGAGCTCCTGCTCTCCGGCGCCGACCTCATCAAGGTGGGCATCGGGCCCGGCTCGGTGTGCACCACGCGCAAAAAGACGGGCGTCGGCTACCCGCAGGTGTCGGCCGTGCTCGAGTGCGGAGACGCCGCCAAGGGACTCGGCGGACACATTATCTCGGTAAGAGACGCAGCTAGGCGGGGGAGGCTGGGTTAGAGGGTGGATACTGGATAGGGTCGGCTGGGTGTGGGAGTTGTCACTATTGGCGACAGTTTTCAATTTCTCAGTGCACGGGTGGGGAAGGGAATTTGGTGTCTGTATAAAATATGACTACGTGTTGAATCAGGTATAAAATGTTATTGAATTCTTGTCTTAGGTATCGATGGCATTGAAACATTGCACGATGACTTTCGTTAGTTTTTTTTTTACGATTTGCTGAGGCTCTGCCAGTACGATGTCACTGTTTCTGTACACCCAAGCATATACTTTGTTCAGGCCACATGTGCAGAACGCTCTTCCCTTGATATCCACGCGACCACACTCCTCTCAGACCATTCTACTCCATCTGTCTGTACCTGTTCCACCAGCCGGGGCTGCTCAGCCCGCCCCGTGCTCTGCTGAACTTCCCCTCCCCCCCCCCCCCTCCCTCCCAGGACGGCGGCTGCACCTGCCCCGGAGACGTGGCCAAGGCCTTCGGGGCCGGCGCCGACTTCGTCATGCTGGGCGGCATGCTGGCTGGCCACGACCAGTCCGGTGGAGATGTCATCGAGAAGAACGGCAAGAAGTACAAGCTGTTCTACGGCATGTCGTCGGCCACGGCCATGGAGAAACACGCCGGCGGCGTGGCCGAGTACCGGTGAGGAGGAGAGTGGATTAATGTCGTAGTTTGTCACACATGTCATTAAAGTCTCCTTGTCCTGTCTAGTGTCTGTGTCGGCGAACCGACTTTTCAATTGTCATATCGGACCCGTGGACGCACTCATGATAAATACTGGCCTTGTCTCTGATCAGCCGAAATGAACCGGTCAGTTGAAGTTTGTGCACTTCTTTTTAAATGATTTATTGTATAGCGCTTTGATGTGTCGTATTGGCATTGTATTTTTTTCACTTTCCCACCATCTTGTAGATCAGTTGATTTCAATTGCTATTTTTGCAAGTCTAAAGTTTGCATTTTTTCTCAGAATATCTACTCAAAAGTTAAACCCATTCGCTGTTTCACGTCGATAACGACGCCCCCTATGACTCAGCCGCTCATGTGTCACCCGATCGACAGGGCGTCCGAGGGTAAGACGGTGGAGATTCCGTACCGCGGCGACGTCACAGCCACCGTGCTGGACGTGCTGGGAGGCGTGCGCTCCGCCTGCACCTACATCGGCGCCGGCAAGCTCAAGGAGATGCCGAAACGGACCACCTTCATCCGCGTCACCCAGCAGCTCAACGAGGTCTTCACTGGCAGCGAGAGCAAGAACTAGCGCCGCCCGCCGCCGGGGGTGCCAACGCTAGTGAGGCTTACAGGGAGGTTGCCGTGGGAACGGTTGTCGCTGACTGTTGCCATGACAACCGGACGCTGACGGCTGTACAGCGGCGTTGTTCTGTGTGGTTAATGTTGTTCGTGGGAATGTCAGAGCAGTTCTTCCCATGAGTCGAGCAAACGAGCGTTACCAGGCCAGTCTGTGCGCGAGGCGCTGTCCTCCGCTGCCTGAGATGGTCTCTGCTCAGACCGGGGCCGGCAGTCCTGTCGGCCGCAGCAGGCCGAGGACGTCGCGCCAGGTGTGCTATGTGTGCTGTGCTGCCCTCTGTGCTGTGTGCTTACCGCCGCCTTACTCCCGTTTGCCAAACAACCTATCTAGTCCAGAATATGCTTGCTAGTCTAGACGTCGAGGGGCGGTGCAATGCGCAACATTTGATACTCAAACCGAGATTATGCGGCAGGTCGTCGCAGGTTCTGTCCGATGCCATTGGAGGAGTGATTTGCTTCGTCGTGCCTCTGAGCTTGTTTCGTACGGATGGCAACGTTGCTGATTGCTCATTTGCGCATGTCTCGGACACCAGTCAACTGACATGGGTAAGGTATACGATACTTTCCTGCGCGCCTGCCGGGAATGGAGAGTTCGCAAATTGTTACATTCGCACAATGATTGTCGATATAAAAATAGGTACCAGGGATCCGAGCTCAAACGCTTTTCGCCCTATCGTTCATTACGATTTTGTTAAATATTAAGAATTTCAATTGCAAACGCTGCTATACATATCATTCATTGCCTGCTTCGTAAAAAATGTTTACCCCTTGGCGTGCAATATATTTGGAACATAACATTGTTTTGCTACACCAGAAAGGGCGATTTAGGGAGCAACACAAGGTGACTTCGGAACATCTGTGCTGTTATTTGAACTGCGAGCACGTATGTTTTGAGACACCGCCTGTATTGTTAGCTGCCCAGCGTATGTAGTGCTGCCGGAATATGATATCACTGTACAGTTCACGCACCTTCGTTGGACGCCGTATCAGATCTAGCTGAATGGGATTTCAGAAATATGACTGTGCGAACTGCGAGCACGAGACTATATCTAACTCAACTACAGCAAAGGGACATGACTAAATGCAAGGTGAACAGGCGAAAATCTGGCAACTCACCAGTATCTCACTAACTCAATATACCCTGGTATTTTCCATCGCAACCATTTCAGCTTGTGTAATGTTTACGGGTGCAAGATGTGTATTGGCATCAATGTGATGCCCACAAACGGGATGAATCCTGCTGGCGTCGAAGCAAATCTAAAGGAATTTCCAGAAATGTATGAGATCACCTGAACCATGCTAGCCCAGCGTCACCATCGTCAGCCGTTGACGCAGCCTGGATGTGTTTGCGATGATAGTTACGGAATGCATATTATGCCAGACAGCATCCACACATGTACAATTCACATAGCTGTGTGCCTTAGCCCTCAGCAGTGATCAGGCTTGCATACCACCCCATACGGATACGCTTCAGGACATCAATAGCTACTTTGTGCGCCTGTGACAATCAGGCCGGTAATGGCACACAATACCGTGATGTAGCACAGGCGGGCCAATCAGCGACTGCGGGGAGTCGTTGCGACCCCAATCCGCCACTATTGGCCCGCTGACCGTGTCGGTAGGTCGAAAAATCGGCGTGCCGTCACGGTTAGAGATCGATGGCGGTTCTGTTGACCCGGTCACCACGGCGGCGGCGACGGCGGCGACTGCAGGGTCGGCCGGCCGGCCACCGTTCGTCTGTCCACCGACCAGCCGACCGGCGGCCGCACAGCATGCGTCCCTGATTGCCGCCGACGCGCCACTATCCGCCGCACACCGGCTCCGCTCATCACAGGTGAGAAACGCGCCGGGATTGACAGCCGGCTCCTGAGATCTCTGGCGATTCCGGCCGGCCGCGATTAGTGCCGGTTCCTGTTGATAGATGGCAGCACGGACGGCGCCTGAAAGTTAGGCTGTACCGCAGAGCGCAGGTGTAGCGCGGGACAGCTGTTGCGTAATGTCAGTTTCTAACGTTTCTGGAACCGGTGATGCATATTTTGTTGATATTTGCACACTGACACATTTAACATTGCCCTACATGATATGGTTCCAGGAAGGACTCATGCCACGTTTTATCTTATCCTTTTCCGGTTTAGGTCTCATAGCCTTCAAGTCTCATGGAGCTAACTGTTCAGGTTTTACCGGACATTATCCGCGGTTTTAGTAATGTTATTACCTCCAGATGACGTCATTCTGACGTCGACAGGCGACCGGGAGCGGCCCAAGCTTCTCCAGCCATGGGGAACATGAAGTCCAAAGAGACGACGGCCGACGGCCGGTCCATCTACGAGCGAGAGGCCCTCGGCTCTGGTGAGAGCGGCGGCCGCGCGGGGCAGGGCGCGGGAACTGGGGAGAAAGAGGAGCTCAGATTAGGGTCAAACTGGATCCTAAGTTACATGGTGGAATAAATTTTTCGAGTGCCATGCTCAATATATATTTCGCAACAATGAAAGGCTATATCAAAATAAGTTCACTGGTAGTACCTATCAAAATGTGCTGGGCTACGCTCACCACCCTTCAAGCATAAATCATTGAGGTGAGACGCACTCCGCAGCATAAGAAGTATCCGTAATTGTTATTTGTTCATGCATGTGTGTTCACATCCACTTTGTAGCAGTGCAGCATAATCGGCTACACGGTACACACTTCCCTAGTTGGTTATAAGCTTCTTGAAGTCGTCTGCTCTTCTTCGCTCATGTGACTTTACTGCACAGCCAGAAGCTGTCGTTCCCAAAAGCAAAATGTGTTGCATGAATGCTGAATATGTAGTAAGCAGGTCGGCATGTTATGAATACTGAAACACTTAGGAGAGCATGTTATGTTGACATTAGTGGGGCCTTCTAATTTACTTTAAGAGTCTCTGAACTATGAGGCTATGACATGGTTATCATTTCGGTAGTTAAATGAGTTCAGTAAAATCAGGTCAAAAGAGCCAAACAACGCACCATTGCATTTTGCCCAAATTTGCATGACGCCCCGACTATTGTGAAGGTACGAGTATACTAGTGCATAACCCGTAAAAGAAATTAGAAAAATTGAAAATCTGGAACCAGCAATAAGCAATTTCTTCTCCGATAGTTAAATCCAACGATACGATACTCACTTGTAGGGTGTCCGATCAACATGTGACTTAAAAGGTCACGCCGAAGGCTCCGATAAGAGGATAAAGTTTTTCGTGAATAGCTTCATCAAAAATATTCGTAACGCTAAAATAGTAGGTATAAGCAATGCGCTTATCTTGTCAATGTCAGTGTGATTCGGAAGATACACTTTTGTTCGGAAACGGTCCACTTTGTCGACTCGAATTCGTGAAATATTAACTAAGAATATTGGCGCGGCAACGGGGGGGGGGGAGGAGGGCTTCGACAGCACATTTCGTAGTTTTGATCGCTGATCTCGTGAAATTCACTTTCTCTGGACTTGCTTTCAACACCTCTCTTGTTGCGGTCTTTGCTTTTGGTTGCTCAGTCTGCATCAATGTTAATCGTTCAGATTTCCCTCTTGATGTAATGCTTACCTATCTTGCTTGATTGTGTCGGTGCTTTCCATTGACCTATCATAGCATGGGTCAATGGTGCTTTCCCTGGCCTGTCATGTTTGTTGACTTGCTCGTGCTTTGTTTTCGATAAAGCCGGAGTTAGAAAACACGAAGATGGCACCGTCCGACCATCCACGGCCAGTAAGTACCAAGAAACAAGAAGAATTCCGCAGAATACTTGCAACTGTACCCAGGCGGCCTTCGTTGCCTCGGAAAAAAAAACTTGATGTGATAATAACTATCTAAGTAATTATAGTTCGTTTTTCTTAAGTTTGCCCCTCACTGTAAACGTCTTTTTGAACACAGCACGAGAATTGCTAGCTGAATTACTGAGAAAACTGGTTGGCGCACATTGATTTCACCAGATTTCACAGACGATCAATTTTACCAAATTTGTTTACTATTTCACAGACTCATAGCTCGTATTTACCCATACCTACAGCTCCACAGTGATAGACGACTTCTCAGGAATTATGTCTGAAGTAATTAATAAATTGCACGGCGTTTAAAATTAACGTTACATCGTTTGTGTTCAAAACTTATTTTGAAAATATTATTCATATCTCCAATACAATGTGCGCCAACCAGTTTTCTCAGTAATTCAGCTAGCAATTCTCGTGCTGTGTTCAAAAAGACGTTTACAGTGAGGGGCAAACTTAAGAAAAACGAACTATAACTACGTAACTACGTAATTGCGAACGAAGGATAAGTTTATAGTCATCACGCCGGACACACTAAATTTCTTAAACGGAACACAGTTGCTTCAAACAGCTCAGCGCTTTATCGTGTTGCTATCTATGCATAACGCTCGTCGCCACAGACCGTTTGCGCCGTGTGCCATTTAGGTTCGGGGCGATCCGGCGGGGCCTCTGACGGAGCGCGTCGCCTCCCTGGCGGCCCCGTGTGCCGCACAGGTACCCACGACGGCTCCATCAACTGCATGGCTCTCTCCGAGGACGGCTCCCTTCTGGTCACCGGCTCCGAGGACTGCACAGCGCGCCTCTGGAGCACCAAAACCGACTCCACAGAGTCGCTCGGCGCACTCGAGTGAGCGGGGAGGGGTCGTCATTGAGGGGCAGAGGGGAAACGAGGGAGTGAAGGCGGCTGACTCGGAACTTGAGGCAGCCTATCGGCAGAATTTGTTGAAAGGAAAAATTATTAGAAGGATGAAGAATAACCTGTTGCTCATTTCTATCAGAAATAGAAAAAATAAACCAATATATATTCGGGCGTGGCCCTTCTTCAGTGGTACAAGATCACAATAAAACAAGAGCTTGTTTTATTGTGATCTTGTACCACTGAAGAAGGGCCACGCCCGAATATATATTGGTTTATTTTTTCTATTTCTGATAGAAATGAGCAACAGGTTATTCTTCATCCTTCTAATAATCTTATTAACAATGCTCAGCACAACGTTCAAATACCTGAAAGGAAAAACTAAAAACTGCTACACCTATAGCACAGTTGCACTACTTATCTAGAATTTAGTTTTGCATGGTTTTTAAGCGTAGGTATAACATACATGGATGAAACTAAAATCAAATGATTGATGCCTCCCCAAAAAAATAGTTGATGTTGATGGAGCCTTACATGCAACTTAGCGACTCGCATTCCCTGACTGCAAGCACGACAGCCGATTTCCTCGTGAATAAGTACCAGGCCGCATTTCTTTGGACCTTGATTACCTTGTAACAATGCAGCGAGCTGCCCACAGTTGCCTTTGTTCCAGGAACCCGCCCCCCCCCCCCCCCTACCCGTCATAAACTGCCCGTGTTTCATGGTCACTCCGACAATTGGCCCGTGGCGCGCGCTGACCACCCCAGGGTAATTGGTCATGGCCCCCACCACGCCGGTGAGTTACACGATGTCTCCCCGGCGACCGGGCGCCAGTGTTGATACGGACGCCCGGGTTGCCGGCGGGCGCAATCGACCACTACATAATACCCAGCGCCTTGACGTCATACAGTGGCCATCAGTGCCGCCCGAAAAGTACGGTAGCCATCAGTAGCTACTTACCGTCCAACAATGGACAGTCACAGCAGCCATCAGCGCCGTCCCACAATCACAGTGACATAGTAAAAACCCGCCTACAACAATCACAGCAACACAGAGTCCGCCTATAACAGACAATAACAGCAATACAGAATCGCCTATAACAATCACAGTAGCACAGAATCCGCCTATAACAGACAATCACAGCAACACAGAGTCCGCCTATAACAGACAATAACAGCAATACAAAGTCCGTCTATAACAATCGAGTCCGCCTGCAACAGACAATCACAGCAACACGGAGTCCATCTATAACAATCACAGTAGCACAGAGTCCGCCTATAACAGAAAATCACAGCAGCATAGAACTTGCCTATAACAGACAATCACAGCAACACAGAGCCGCTTATAACAATCACAGTTGCACAGAGCCCGCCTATGTATATAAGACAGTCACGCGACACAGAGCCTGCCTATAACAATCACGTAACACAGAGCCCCCCTATAACAGACAATCTTTAGACTTGAGATTTGCGTAGCGGTATTCAATCGAAATGCTCTCAAGTATCCAGGCTGTATACCGCGCGCGTTCTGCGGCGCTGATCAGCTCACGCCGTTCTGCAGGGGCCACACCTCTTACATCACGTGCGTCACCATCATGGCCGACTTCGTCATCTCCGGCTCAGCCGACCAGACCATCCGCAAGTGGGACATGGTCAGCAGAGAGTGTGTCTTCATCTTCGAAGGTGAGAGAGAGTGTGTCCTCATAGTTCGAAGGTAAGGGGCAGGGTTGGACAGTGGTGATCATTCTTTCTATCCTGCTGTCTCTAACCGAGGTAAGTCATTACATCGGGTAGAGACAGCTCGTGGCAGCCGACACAAGACGGTGACAGATGATATTGAATGACAGCTAACACCCGGAGTACTGAGTAGTGATACTTGAGAAGTGACAACTGATTGACACCGAATAGTGATAGCTGATAAGTGCCGATAGCTGACATGCATCGGTGACACCTAATTACAATCGAGACAGCTGTAAGCCCACAGCCATGATAGTCGATGGTCCATTAAGTTGAAATAATCCGATATTCCAAACACCAATCTGATGAAAATACCTACATATTTTACCTGAACTTCTCGTTTAACTGCGGATGATCCCTGTTCCCAGGCCACCGTGGCAACATCAACAGCGTGATTCCGTGCGGCGGCGACTACATCCTGTCCTCCTCGTACGACAAAACGGCCCGGCTCTGGTACTTTGATCCCGAGGGCGAGGGCGAGGAGAGCCCCTGTGTGCGAGTCTTCGAGGTGAGCAGACGCCGTACCGAACCAACGTACACATAGCGGTTGAATATGACTAATACTGAGGTAACAGTTCTATACAAATGTATTCAACGTTGAACGTGCCTATGTATGGTGGTTTTATCTACATCACCGTGAATTTTATTTGGTCATAATTCTCCCTCCCCCCCCCCCAGCATATCGTGTACACAAACATATTGTCTCTTTGATTTTTTAGCGCGCGTCACAGAGAAATGTCATAACTCGCAGCGATATTTAATGGCACATTGAAGAATGTCTCTCACAGACGATATGTGCATCTGTCACCAAATCTCCCGGGCACCTCTGTATTAGTCGCTTACTGGTAACGGTGTGTTCCCACCACGCCCTGCAGGGCCACCAGAAGCCGATCTACCCGATCCTGGTGGTGTGGACGAACCTCTCTGACTCGTCCGACTCTGACTCCGACTCGGAGGGATTCGGCGACTGCTCCGAGCGCGAGGAGATCATCGTGACGGGCTCCAACGACACAACGGCCAAGACGTGGAGCCGCGACTCCCAGTACAGCCTGCAGGTGGGCACTGCGCTAGCTAGGTGACATCGGGGAGCGGAGGGGGATTGGGACTGTGTCTGGAAACGAAGGCCGTGACTTCCAGTATAGCCTGCAGGTGGGCACTGCCTAAAGGAGACGAAAGAGAACGGCGGGGTTAATTGGAAGTGGGTAAGGGAGCGATCGCTGAAAATCTCAAAACAGCCAAAAGGTGGGCAGGAGCAGTGACAGGGCAATTTTGACGGGATGAAATGGGGTGTAGCGGGTTCAGTACAGCCAGCGGGATGATCAGATCCGACGAAGCATACGGGGAGAAGGAAGGGAGTAGAGGAAGGAAAGGGGATATCAAAATAGCCGGACTGCTATGTTATCAGTCTCAAGCGCTGTTGTGCCTTTGGCGGCAGACGTTCAGTTCAGATGTCACTAGCGCTGGTTTTCCTTTGTCGGCAGACGTTCCACGGCCACGAACAGCCCGTGTCCTGTATGGTGGCGGATGAGGACAGCGCCACACTCATCACCGCCGGCCTCGACCGAACCATCCGCATCTGGACGATGCGCGACGCCAAATGCCAGAGGGTGAGGAGCGCGAAAAGCGAGCCGCCAGTGTGATGTCTGTTGCCGAGGCCGTTCCGACTCCTATTCGCTTGCTGGTGAATATCTAAGCTCGCACACCTCCCACACATTAGCACAAGACAGCCCGCCCATTAGGGTGTGACAGGGACGGGAAGGCTGTTTGTGACGGAGAGACTGTGCCCGCCGCCAGGTTCTGGAGGGCCACAGCCTTTCCATCACCTGCATGCAGCTGGTGGGCCGACTGCTGTACAGCGGCTCAACCGACCGCACGGCGCGCGCCTGGGTCACTGAGTTCGGCGAGTGCACGCGCGTCTTCGAGCCGCACTCCCACTCTGTCACCTGCATCAAGGTGGTCAAAGGCGTCGGTGAGTTCCCGGGCGTGGGTGAGTTCCCGGGCGTGGGTGAGTTCCCAGGCGGTCACGGAAACTAATGGGCCAGCTGGACAGCGGTCGGTAGATCCTGGTTGTGTAAATGAGCACTGATTTTTTTTTTTAAGTATGAATGCTACAAACAAGAATGATTCATCTGCCTCGACATTTTTGGCATGCATGACTGATTTCCCTGTCATATCGATGATACATGTTGATGAAACTAATGATACCTAATGGCGGATGTCGTTTTTAATCAGAAAATATAGGGTCTAATGATATTTCTCCTCCCATCACAATTATTTACGCACTCCCCCGTAGACGTGTCGCAACTGAAACATAACTTTCGTCCTTGCAATCGTAACAACAATGTTGTCAGTCTACTCGTATGCAACCACTCCGCACATGCGTTCCTCCCTCTACCTCTATCTCTCTCCCTTCCCCCTCTCTCCCAGGCACCCTCGCTCCCTCTCCGTTCCCCGCTCACCTGCCCTTTTCCGCCGCAGTTTTTACCGGCTGTAACGACTGCAAGGCGCGGGCTTTCGACGCCAAGTCCGGCGCGCTGAAGCGGACCTTCCCGGGCCATACGGCCGGCATCAGCTGCATCCAGTACATCGACGGCAAGCTGTTCACGGGCAGCACGGACGGCACGCTGCGAGTCTGGAACGCCACCAACATCACGTGAGTCCAGCCCGGCCACAGTGTTAGGTAAGTACCTACTAGCTGCTGAGCAAAAAAAAAAAAAAAACATGCTTAGAAAGGACCAGCCGTATCCGGAAGAAGGCCAGTCGTCCCAGGAGGAACAACCGTGACTCACATTGACTCCAACTCCCCACCCTGTGCCCTCTGCAGTGAGGGCCATTCATGATTCCCTTTGACTCACATGGACTCTGACTCTGTGTCCTCCACAGCGAGGACCAGCCGTCTCCAGAGGAGGAGGCGGAGGAGTACGACAAAGAACACATGGCCGAACAACAGAAACGGCTCAATGACGTCAGCCGCCGGCTCTCCAGACCGTACGCCGGGGGCGACATCGACGACGGAGTCTCCATGGAGTAGCGGGAGGCGACGACGACGGGCGCGCCGGCGAGCAGAGAGGCGCTGTAGCACGGAGACAGGAAACAGCGCAGTTCCGTGCTATGTGACGGAATAGAAACACCACAGGGAGATATGGGTAAAACGTGTATAAGAGGCACACGCGGGTGTGTTAGGACTGTTGATCGTCCGTCGACGCATTCAGAGGGATCTCGAAGATCACGCGAAGTTCGAGCTATTCTACCATGGCTGAGTGTTCGCCTGGCTGCTGAGCGCAGGATGACTGCGGGGCAGCGGCGGCGAGTGGCAGGGACCGAGGCCGTGCTGGTAGCGGCTCGGGCGGTACCGTGGGTACCGTGAGAGGGACGGGCGCCGCGCCGTCGGCCGCACGCCGGTGACACTGGTCCGGGCTGGGCAGGGGCGTCCCGGCCGACGGAGCGGCGCCCCCGGCACCGGTCCTCCGCCTCCCACTGCCGCCCGGCGCCCCGACAGAGCGGGCCAGCGGCAGAGGGACGGCGGAGCGCCGGGCGCCGGCTCATCGTCCCAGTCGAGTTATATCGTTTGTTAATACAGTATTATGCTTGATGTGTGTTTGTATAACTGTTCAGAGAAGAACGAACGGACACTGAACGGTCCCTTAGTTAACGGTTTCGATATTAGGCGTAACAAAGACAAGGCCGCCAGGCGGCAATAGACAGGAACCTATAGAGACGAGACCCCCCCCCCCTCCGCAGCATGTCACATATATCAAAGTAGCGCCACCTGCGGGAGGCACGGTGGGTCACGGTACGCCGTATGGCCTAGGAGGCAAGACGCCGCGCCGACGAGGCGGTGCCCGTTCGTTCCGAGACAGGTGGCGTGGGTGCGGTCGTTTCCCCCGGCAGAGCAGCAGCGTGGCGATCGGCTGGCGTAGGTATGCACGATGGGCGATGGTGACAGGCATTCGTTAACTGGCAAGCTACACCGTTTATGGTGGGGAGATAAGCGTTCAAAAGCCTAGACATATCGCAGTGGTATTTTTTATGACGACTCGTCATTTAAAAATCATCCATCCCGTCAGAACTCATCCATAACTCGTCATTGACGAGTTATGAATTTATCAGCAAACTCGCATAAATTAACGAAGGACAAAATGACCTAAGCTCGCAAAATCAGTCACGTATCGCTCTTATGACACTCAAGTACCAAACGAGGATTAAATACCTATATCATCTTATATCTATTTATATTAATTTATTAGGAGCATCGACAAAATTGCTGAAATGGATGGTGGGTGAATGAGTGGAATGGATGAAATGGCTATTCATTTGGGGAAAAAATATTCAAATTCGTACCTAAAGCTATCTCAATACAAGCCAGAGTCAAGCGCAAAAGTAGTGTGAGCATTGACCGGCCGACCGGGCAACGTGTTTTTAAAGCCTACTAGCACAAAAAAAAACTGGGAAAAACGTTTCTATCTGTGAAGTACTGAAAAACTATGAGCATGAGAAACTGTCGTTATTCATTGGAGCAGAAATGCAGCGTTTACGTCCAATTCGTAACGACTGCAAATACCGGCAATTATTTCAGCAGCGACCGTAGCAAGAAAAAACCTGACCCACTGCTACAGACCGGGGTAGTAAGAATACATCACAGTCAACCAAATCAATAGGCAGCCACACCAATCAGTGCGCATATCGTCACAGGCCGAGCCGGCAACGTCGTTCGGTAGGACCGGTCAACTGGCCGCGCGGCCCGCGCCCGTTTGTCGCGGGTCCTGCGCAGTCCTGCGGCCGCTACAGTCCTCGGTCAGGGGCTCGATAGGCGGCCGGCGGCCCTGGTGACGGCGGCGTGGCCACAACACGGTCCACGGTCACGCGTCACTATCACCCAGGGAGCGGGCCAACACAGCGCCGCAGCGAGTCGAACGAGCGAGCGAGCGACACGGGCCGGCGTACGACCGGGGAGCAGTGACGGCAACAGCGAGGTACTGCGCAGGAGACGGGTGTGCCGAGAGCAGCGAACGACGCAGATAAGTACGTAAGTAGACGGGTAGGTAGGTGAGGGGAGACCAGCAACGGCGGTGCGTTTCTGGCGAGTACAGATTAGAAAGGCAGCTACTAAAGCCGAAAACGGAATGGAAAGCTGGGTTGCAAGTAAGAGGGATAAGGGCGGAGGTCGGATCATGTAGGCGGGCCACAAATGCCCTCCATGTCTGGTTGACTGACATTCAACATTCAGGTTTACGTTACATGCCATCAGCAGCGTTCCTAACTAACATTTGCCCGCTCTCCCTTACTGCCTACAGCTACTACAGCCTGCCGCCGGCAGCCGCTGAGCCGCCGCCATGGGCGCCAACATGGGCAAGGACCGTGACAAGAGCTGGGAGGTCGCCACGCTGGACGAGCACGAGGCGTGTATCAACGTGCTGTCGGTGAGCGAGGACGGCTCGATGGTGATCACCGGCTCGGATGACTGCACCGCGCGCCTCTGGTGTACCACCACCGACAAACAGATCGGCGTGCTGGAGAAGGGCCAGAAGAGGTCCAACCAGCCGCCCGAGGCCGCCAGGTGACAGGGAGGGGGAGGGAGAGGAGTGGGATGTGGGGGGGGGGATTGAAAGACATTCGGTGGTGCAATCGCAGTTGATGAGAAGTTGCAGAAGTTGCCGTGTCGAGGGAACATGTTTTGGCAATGTGATTGAACTGATTAATAATAATAAAAATAGGCTGGCGATAAGTCAATTTGCAGTCGCTTACTCTTGTCGTTTTGGCGTGACGGACCGAAACAACCCTGTTGTGTGGTAGCGATCATTGTGAGTTGTGACGGTACCTCCTTTGTTTCGGCAGCGGTCACCTGGAGCCAATTTCGGCTATCGGCCAGGTCAGGGATTTCGTCATCACTGGCAGCTACGACCACACCATCCGCAAGTGGGACATGGTCTCCTGCAAATGCCTCAATGTTTACACCGGTGAGTCGCGAAGCGAGGATGTGCATCCTAGTTCCCGGCGCCGCCAACAGATGGCACTACTGGTGGGCGCCTAGACTGATACTGTACCGCATGACATGAACCCGTACTCGACGCAACGCGCGGCCACTCGCTAATCGCAAAACGCTATGGATCGATGATGGCTTGTTCCTCCGTCACACCAATCGTCATTAAATGTTTGTGTGCACGCGCGCAGGTCACACGGACCGCGTGCTGAAGCTACTCGTGTCGGACAAGTACATCTTCTCGGCGTCGACCGACAAAACGTGCAAACTGTGGCGGCTCGAGGAGGAAGATGAGGACGAGGACATCGAGATCTGCCTGAGGACGTTCGAGGTAAACAGGGGACATCAAGTTTGCCTGAGGATATTCGAGATAATTACTAACGAAAATGTGAACTTGAGAGTTGCTGGCGCTGCGCTTCGCCAGAGAGAATTCGTCGAGCTGATGCATGATGAGCCGCGAACACAGCCTCATGTCGGACTCGAGGAATATCTATCCAACTAAAGATGTGAGAAACTTTAAAACTTAAACTGAAATGGCTCGAATGTATGCTTTAAATTTCCAAAATTTAGGAATTCTAACGAGGTAGCGATGTAGTCACATAGTACGTAATATTCACACCAACAGCGTTTCTCTTTTTTCTCCTACATCTATCTATATTACTATTTGTGGTCACGTAGTTTCTGTCTGTAACCGAGGTCGCGACATGGTGCTACGTAGCGCGGGTTACAGGTCACACCGTTGCACCTACCGCGCTGAAGTTTGCGCAACTCATAGAACAAGGATGGACAACGTGCCTTTGAGGGGTCTCAGCTCGATCGGGTCGATAGCGAGCGCGTGGCGCGTGCCCGAAAAGTGCAAATTCGCGTCATAGACTTTACATGTATAAATCGGCTTGCAAAAACGGGCGAAAATGGCTAAATTTGCCCGACACGGGTCCGGTTCCCGTGCAATATCTCGGTAACCGTGCACCCGATCGTCACGGGGAAAACAGCATCGTGTAGAGAATCGAACGGGCAATCGAATGGTGTGCTGTGCGGAGGATGGCACGTGCCACGTGCACCCGTGAAGGCAATTTAATTTCAAAAAGTGCCGTTTTAAATGGATTTTGGATTTTATTTTATTTTCACGTGACCGTCAGGCTGAGGGAGTTAAAACAACGCTTATTGGCAAGAGAAATGTACCGCCTCTCATGGAAAAATTGTGAAAAGCTAATAAAAACAAGGTGGAACAAATCGCTGAAGAAAATGGTATTTGTCCATAATGTGGCACTAAATGATTACACGGAGTTTGCTGCTTAACCTGATACGGTTGACAATTGAAAATGCTATCATTAGAAAGAGCATTCAATTCTCTCCAAGATCCAATCATCACGTTTGGATGACAAGCAACAATATTCTTAAATATATAAATATTTCAAACCTCTGCAAAACGATTTTTAGCGAAAATTATCTACGCCTTTAATTGGTCATAAAACTACGCACCTGAATTATAAAACACATTTGACAGATTCTGAAGTGGAAAGCATGCTTATCAGACACGGGTACCTCGATGCGGTGGATATTTTTTCCAAACCAAATCGTTTAGCCGTCAAAAAGCAATCCACCGAAATGGTTTATTATTATTATTTATTGGGGCTTAAGGGCGCGCCGACTACAAGGTCATTTTGCGCCCATAACTATATACAAGTAAAGCAAGTGTGTCACAAGAAAACCGACGTAATAAAAGGCTTAAAAAAGCCTAAAAGCTGGTTAAAAAGAGCAAAGAAGGGTAAAATACTCCAAGCGTATCGTAAAAGACAGCTGACTAGGCGTAAGGACTAGATTAGAATAGACGTATGGACTAGTTGGTTTGGTATCAGATCGAGTAGATTACTTGGAATTTGATTGAACGGATAAAGGAAAAGATGTTGCCAGATAAAACCCAGGGTGACTCGTCACCCAGCAAGTGGCGGACGGTGATATCCGGAGCGATGCGGCCCAGGTAGCGAGTCCGGTCCGGTTCCAAGCGTCGACAAGATAAAAGCACGTGGGCGACGGTGAGAGGCACGGCGCACCCGCCGCAAACGGGCTGCTCATCTCCGCGGAGAAGGTGGCCATGCGTTGCATACGTATGACCGATGCGGAGCCTGCATAAAATCACTTCGTTTGACCTGTTGTCTTGCGAGCAAGACCTCCAATGCTCCAGAGTCGGCTTCACCTCTCGGAGCTTCCTGCCTCCACGCAGGCGCCACTCTGCCTGCCACTCCGTTAGAATAAAAGATCGTACAGCAGGGTAAAAATCACGCGCCGGCAATGGCAACCGACGAGTGCAGGGTGCTGCAGCAGCACGCCTTGCAGCCGCGTCTGCCAGCTCATTGCCATGAACGCCAACGTGACTGGGAATCCAGCAGAACTGAACAGATTTACCCGATTGTTCTACTGACTGAAGCCGAGCTAAAATGTCTTGAACGATCGGGTCGGCTGGATTAAAACTCCGTAGGGCCAACAGGCTGCTTAGGGAGTCCGATAAAATCAAGTAAAAAGGTCCGTCCGATACCTCAATAAAACACAAAGCCTTCTCGATGGCAACAAGTTCCGATGAAAACACCGAGGCGAAAGATGGCAACGAAAATGAACGGGTATCGTCGCCAGCGACGAAAGAACAGCCCGCTCCCTCAGGTGTTTTAGAGCCGTCTGTGAATACAGGAATAAAACCATCGTAAGAGGCAAGGTGTTCCAAGGCTCGGACTCGTGCCTCTGCAGGCAGCAACTTGCCCTTTGGAACTGCAGAAAGCGAAAGATCCACCTGTGGACTGACACTTTTCCACGGTGGAGGGGGCGCAGCCCAGATACGACGAACGTTACGCAATGCTATGTCAGCTATTGAAAACAGTTCTTTCATGCGCACTCCGAACGAGGGTCGCAACCTTCCGTTACATCGGGTGGCATGCCGTGAAAAAACGTATGGGTACGTCGGGTGCATAGGAAATTGGCGCAGTTTCAGCGCGTACCGCATACCCAACATCTGACGGCGGAGTGAAAGTGGCGGTTCATGCGCCTCAGCAAGAATGCTGCTCCTGGGCGAGGTGCGGAATGCTCCGGTGGCTACTCGGAGTGCTGCATGATGGACTGTATCCAGGACCCTCTTGCTAGATTCACTCGCTGAATCGTAGACAAAAGAAGCGTAATCTAGCTTCGATCGTACAATAGATCGATATAGAAGAAGAAGGGTCCTGCGGTCCGCACCATAAGATGTGCGGGCGACACATTTTAAAACATTCAGGGATTTAAAACATCGTTCCCGAAGCGTTCTAAAATGTTCTTTATACGTTAAACGACTGTCAAAAAAGATCCCAAGAAACTTCGCCACCGGACGAGTAGGAATCACCTGTCCATAGAGCTGGATTCCCAAGGGAAGGTCGCCGCAGCGGCGGCGGCAAAAGTGCATAGCGACGGTCTTCGTTGTTGAAAAACGAAGACCGTTGTCACGACTCCATCTCTCCAACCGCGTCACTGCAAGCTGCAGCTGTCTGGCCATATGCCGAGCGCTTGAAGCGGCAAACCAAATGGCAAAATCATCCACGAAGAGCGATCTACCGATCGAGACCGGCAGATCATCAGCGATGTCATTAATCGCCACTGCAAAGAGAGCCACACTAAGCACCCCGCCCTGGGGAACTCCGTTCTCTTGAGTAAAACTGCTCGAAAGACTACTGCCAACTCGGACTTTGAACCGACGACCCGATAAAAAGTTCTTAATAAAGAGGCCCATCCGGCCGCGTATGCCGTACTTGTGTACTTTGGAAAGTATTCTGTGTCGTAACACTGTATCATAGGCCGCCTCAATATCAAAGAACAGTGCTCCAAGGTGCTTCTTTTCAGTAAAACAGGTGCGTATCTCGGTGTCGAGGGCTAAAATGTGGTCAACAGGGCTGCGGTGCTTTCTAAAACCGCACTGGGCGTTTGTAAAAACACCGTGATGTTCCAAAAACCAGCTAAGACGCACATTGACCATCTTCTCCATCAGCTTTGAAAGCGATGATGTGAGAGAGATGGGCCGATAGTGGAGAGGGTCATGTCCCGACTTGCCAGCCTTCAAAATAGGAATGATAGTGGCTTCCCGCCAGGTCTCAGGGAAAGTGCCAGTCTCCCAAAGCGAATTGAAAGTTGCTAGCAGCGCCTCGAGGGCAACTGCGGGGAGATGACGGAGCATGTCGTTGTGGACAGCATCCGGACCTTCTGAGACGCTGCGCAACGAGCTGATGGCAGACGTGAGCTCAGCCATAGAGAAAGGCTCATTGTACATCGAATTTTCAGCTGTGCTGAAGTCCACGGCGGCTGGTGCAGGTCGTGAGGACGGCTCTCCTCGGCAGCGCTGATAGAGTGCACGGCCTATCGTCTCTGCGACGTGTAAAGGGTGGGATATGTCCGTGTTGTTCACTCTTAAAACCGGAAGCGGAACAGAGCTGAACCGGCCTTCAATGCGCTTCATGCGTGCCCATATCTGGGTCGTAGGAGTAAAACGGTTTAAGGAACTCACGTAAGTGCGCCATGAAACAGCCTTTGCCTCTTTTAAAACGCGACGGGCAAAAGCCCGCGCTTTCTTAAAAGCGATGAGGTTCTCAGTAGTACTACTCCGGTCAAACTTTCTAAAAGCGCGCTTCCTGGCACGAATCGCATCTCCGCATTCCTTGGTCCACCACGGGACCGGAGGACGACGAGGCTGACTCGACGTCTTGGGTATGCACCCGTTTGCGGAGTCAGTGAGTAAACATGTAAAATCATCTGTAGACATCACAGAGGCGTCGGCTCTGGATAAAACCGTGGCCTCTACGGCGGCCTGGAATTCGCCCCAGTCGGCCTTCCGAACATTCCACCTAGGTGGACGGTTGCCTGACACTGGGGACTCCTGGTGCTCCAGCCACACTGGGAAGTGGTCGCTCCCGAGTGGGTCGTCATGGACGGACCAGGTAAGAAGCTGAGCTAGCCGCGGACTGACTAAGCTCAGGTCCAGAGCCGATGTTTGACCGGAGGGTGTTGTAAAATGGGTGCGCTGTCCTGTATTTAAAATACACAGCGCCTCATCGCGGATAAAAGATTCTAAAAGTCGACCACGAGTGCCAGTCGTGTCGCATCCCCACGCCAGGCTATGGGCATTAAAATCGCCGACTACCAGGACCGGAGGTGGAAGCTCATCGACAAGCCGATGCAGCTCAACCACCGGGAGCGCTATACCTGGTGGTAGGTATAAAGAGCACACTGTCAGTTCCCGGTGGTTGAAATCAACTCTGGCGGCCACCGCCTGCAGGGGAGTCTGCAGCGGCACCTGGCGAGCAGGTACGCTGTGGTGAACCGCCAGAAGCACACCTCCATGGGCAATGGTAGGGGTGTCCAGGTCTCTTCTAAAAACAGAGTAGCCCTTGATGGCAAAGGTAACGTTTGGCGCTAGCTTGGTCTCCTGGAGACCTAAAACAAGGGGTGTGCGCCAACGGATAAGAGACTGTAGGTCCTGGTAGTTGGCCCGGAGGCCTCTACAGTTCCACTGTAGAATAAAAGGCGTGGTTAAAAAGGCGCAAAAAGGGCGCGTATAACATGAGGCAAAGGCGCACACAGATACCTGACTGACCACAAAAAAGGTAAAAAGCACCGAGAGAAATGCACCTGGTAAAAAAGCGCAATAGCGCGAAAAAGATAAAAGGATAAAAGAGGAAATGACTAGACTGAAAGACTAGACTAGGTCCTCTAACTCCGAGGAGGCGCTCCCCCCGTAGCGGATACGGGGGTGCCCTGAGCCCTCTCGGTGAAGCCTCCCTTCAGCAGAGGCAGATCGGGCATGGCTCGGGCCCGGCTGGGGCCTTTTCGACCGGGGGGCGTCACCCTCCGAAGGTGACCAGCTCGGGGGCGTCTGCCGCTTGGCGAGGCGCCCTGGAGCCGCGGAGGGCTGTTGCCGCCCCGACGGGGATGTCGAGGCGGCGGCCTGTGTCCTCGACACAGGCGTCTCTGGCAGCGGCGGTGGTGGCCGCCGCTGCGGAGGTGGAGGAGGCGGCGGGGGACCCATGATGGGCCGAGTCCCCGCCTCAGGTGTCTCCGGGGTGTCAGCGGCGACAGCCGCATTGGCACTCCCGGAGGCGGAGTCGGCAGACGAGGCTTCCTTAGCCTCGAGGGCCTTCTGGACGAGGCGAGCCCTCCTCGCCTCACGTGCCCTTCTCTCCTCCTCCCCCCGCCGCAGAGCCTCCTGCACCGCCGTAGACGGTCGGGGGCGGGGCGGGGTGGGTGGCGCCTTACCCTGCGCCGGGGGGCGCCGACCACCCTGTCGGCGCTGGACGACGGTCCAATCGTCTCCATTACCGTTCGCGGCTGGAGCGGGACTGGGTGGACCCCACACTGACTCTTGAGCAGCCTGCTCTGTGTTGCTCGGCGGCGCACGAGGCGCCGTGTTGTCCGCTGAGTCACCAGTGGCTACGACGGTGAGGCCGAATCGTTTGAGAAGCTGCACGAGCTGTGCTACGCTCATCTGGGAGGCATCGGTAGAGTTTGTGACTCTCACCTTCTGGGCATACGAGGTCTTCGGGTGACTCTGGTTGTACACCTCCCGGGCCTCTTTGAAAGACAGATTTCTGGTAGCCTTGATGGTCATGATCTCTTTCTCCTTGACGTATGCAGGGCAAGACCTATCATACGCGGAGTGCGGCGTCTGCCCCTCTCCGCAGTTGACGCATCGGGGGGTCTCCGAGTCACAGGTTTCGTCAGTGTGGTCCTGCGAAGCACACTTGGAGCACGTGGGTCTTCCTCGGCAGTTGTCCTTTGTGTGGCCGAAACGTTGGCAGCGGAAGCAGCGCATGGGCGCTGGGACGAAAGGCCGCACGCGAACCTTCACGTAGCCCACGCGAATCTCACTCGGCAAGTCGGTAGAGTCAAATGTCAGAATGATGTTGTTGGTCGAGACCGTGCCTCTCTTCGTCATGATGCGGCGAGCCGCTGTCACGCCGAAATCGGCGAGCCCGTCCGCAATATCCTCGTCGCTCACTCCCCTCAAATCGAAACAGTTAATGACCCCTCGTGAGGAGTTCTTAGAACGGTGGGGCTCCACTGTAAGCGGGATGGAAACGAGCCTCCGGCCGGATGCCCGTCCCTCGGAGAACACGAAGCGAGTAGCGTCCAATGCTTTCGCCGCCTCCTCGCTTTTCCTGAACTCGACCTCCAGCGCGCCATCACGCATCCGGTCACAGCGAACTATCGAACCAAACCGGTCGCAGCCATCCTTCCGCTGGAAGGGCGACAGAGAGCTCAGCTCCCTGTCTGCGCTCCGGAAGATGAGGATCTTAGGAGATCGTGGACCTTTTTCAAGCACCGTTCGCCTGTCGGCCGAGGCCAACGGGCGAGGATCGGCCGAGGCCGAAGGATTGGTAAGAGTGGGGGAAGGGGGGTTGGTCGAGTTATCCATGGAGTGTGCTTGGTCTCCGCCAGCTCGGCCGCCGACGCTCCGCAACGGCGCCGCTACAAGGCCTGGGACGGCCGAGCTGACTGTACGGGACTTGGCGGCACCTTCCGCGGGGGAGAGAGAGACTCACCACCCCCCACGGTCGGATACCGCCTCCTCCCTTGACGCCTAGCCGAGTCACCGCCAGGGGCAGCGACAGATCAGTCCCACCGACGGAGGACGAGCACAAGTGCCCGAACCCCGCCGGCGACACCTCTCAGACACCACCCCCGGCGGCGTCACGACTGGGAATGGCTCCTCAAGTGCGGCGCCCCACTGAGTGTCCCGCCCTTACAGAACTCAGGGCCAAAGAGGCGTGTTGCCCAGCCACCGCGACTGGCTCCGCACGGTGGGGGGCTCAACCTCCAGGATCCCGTTGTCCTGGGGTACGGGTCGGCTCGCCTAGCCTAGTAAAACCGGCTGGTACCCGAGGGGACGCCACTCCCCTTACACTAGCCCAACTCGGCTGTGTTCCTGCGGGTGCAAAAACAACGAAAAAGGTAGGAAAAGAATCAGAAAGCTGTGATCGAAAGAAACGCGGACATCCGGTGAAAAGCAAAGCAAAAGCAAACAGAGACCGCTCAAGAGAAACAAAACCACGAAAACCAAGAAAAGTCGGGCCGTACCATCTGTCCAACCAGCGATCAAAGCAAGTCGCAAGCAAGCATGGGTCAAGCTGGGGCCGAGGGGGCGCTACTCCCCTTGCTGGCCGAGGCCAAGGCCGCCGCGGGGCAAAGGCCCAAGGAACCCAGTCCGACAGCGACCCCGGCCACTGCCAACCCCCTGCGGGGCCAATCCTGCAGACAATCCATCCAGTAAGCAAGGCAAGTCCAGGTCAAAACGCGCGTCAAGCTGGGGCCGAGGGGGCGCTACTCCCCTTACTGGCCGAAGTCACAGCCGCCGCACAGCCGGAGCCAGATGACCCCGGCTAAGCAGCAGCTCTGACCACGGTCAGCCCCCTGCGGGTCCACCGAAATGGATGGATAACCCAACCGACACAAGAACAACCGAACACCTGCCGATCGAAAATATCCCTTTTCGCGTTGCGGAGCACGCGGGTCACCCTAGTCATCTGTTCAATACAAACCCGGTTTACATAGGGTTTGTTGCAGCAACTCCGTCCGTGATGTTGCAAAAGATGCCAATGGTGCTTAACAATTTACAAAATGATCCCTCTAAATATTTCAAGACCACTGCATCGAAATTATCGCCAAATTAACGAGCTAGAGCCTCGTCAAATATGCTATGTAAACCGGGTTACAGTCGCGCCAGCAGCCTGCACAGGCACGGGCTGATGAACCATCCGTTTCGCCGTCAGGGACACACGGCTCCGGTGCGGTCCATCTGCTACATCCAGGGCGATGAGCAGGAGGACGCCAAGAAGAAGAAGACCAGGATCAACGAGGACGGCGAGGAAGAGGAGGAGGAAGAGGACGAGGACGAGGAAGAGGAGCCCGAGTGCGAGGACGGCATCAACCGCCTGGACATGGTGATCACGGGGTCGTTCGACGGCACGGCTCGCTGCTGGTCCATGGAGCGAGGCAAACAGATCAAGGTGAGTGTAGCGACCGACGGTGAGCCCGAAACCCTGCGGGGAATATAAACTATATTCTATAATAGCTTGAAAAGTTAGATATTTGATCATGTTTGTTTATCTTCCCACACTCTATAGCCAAATCGACCACGTTTCAGATTTTCAAGGCCAACCGCGGTCCGATTTCGTGCATGACGATCGATGACGAGGGCAAGCTGCTGTACACCGCCCACTCGGACACCATCTGCGAGTGGGACATCGAGAAGGGCGTCCGCACATCCACCAAAGTAAGATAATGGCAGGCACAATTTATGAGCAGTGAAACGCAGGCTTCTCAACTTTTTATTTCCCGGAAAGAAGTAAAAAAAGAGCACCCACACACAACCTAACGAAACATGTTTTTTTTTGTACCCGTGATTAATCTGCATAGGAATTATTATCAGCATCGAATTTGTCTCACTGCTGTTACCGTGCCTCGATTTAATGAGGTACTATTGAATCTACCCCTGTACGAAACTTATATTTGATATCCCGCACGGTTTAATTATATCCACCTTGCGGTGATGCGATTCGAACATAAGGCATTTAAGTCAGACGTAGACCATCTTTGACCTATTGATTTCACCATCTGTGTCTGCTCTGACCGGCACCCTCGCGCCCCACCCGCAGCTGATGCGGGGCCACACCAAGGACATCACGTGCATGCAGCTGGTGAACAAGCTGCTGTACACCGGCTCGGTGGATGCCGACGCCAAGTGCTTCGTCACCGAGTTCGGCGACTGCACGCGCACCTACACCGGCCAGACTAACACCATCAGCTGCCTCAAGTTCCACCAGGGCATCCGTGGGTAGCCGCATCGCCAGCTGATTTGCGATCTGAACTCATTAACCCATTTTTTTTTGCTTATTGTATCATGAGACGCTAGCAGCACCCGATAAAATGGAACTTGGTCATGGTGATATCGCTGCAGACTTCGATGTCAACACATATTGCATCCACCAATGAGCAACGAACATTCGCTAATCATTATGGATCCCGTTTTCAAGACCCAACAGATCTACGCATAGTATTTGAGTCGGCTATTTGCCAGGCAGGTATTCCATGCTCCCTTTTCCTGCCACCTTGCCCACCCCCGGCCAAAGCTGATCCACTCTCTGGACCCTGGCCGGCAGTGTTCACGTGCAGCTCGGACGGCGACGCGCGCGCCTATGACGCCAAGTCGGGCAAGCAGAAGCGGGTGTACAGCGGCCACCAGCGGGGCATCACCTGCATGTGTGTGGTGGACAAGAAGCTGTACACGGGCGCCGACGACGGCCAGCTGCGCGTCTGGGACGCCGACGTACCGTGAGTCGGGGGACGGGAAGGGAGAGAGACTCCAGAAGTGGGCAGGCTGAGGAGAAGGGAACAGGATGCAGAACTGACGAGAGATTACAGCCACAAGCTGGCGATATCTGCCATGCCAGGCATCGCTATTCGCTAAAAACCTGCAAAGCTTTCTGTGCCTACAAATCCAGCTAGCGCTTGCTTCACTGTACGCCCGCTATGCTTATGTACTAATATGGTGCATCCACCATTCGCCTCTCTTTTCATTTGCCGCTGCATTTATCTGTCTGTGCCTAGCCATTGCCACCACCTGCATCGAGCATTATCAGCACTTGGCTCAAGCTTCCAAAGTTATAGCAATTGTATCATTGCTGAATGTCCAATCGTTCCAACAGCGTGCTAACGCCGCTATCGCCGCACACTCGCTGTCCACCCCTGTAAATACCCCGGCACACGCTGCTTCTCCACGCCGTGCAGCTACCCCACACACCCCAGCACGCCGTGACCGGCAGACCGCGGCTTCCAGGTCGTGGAGTGAGGAGCTGACGCGACCGCCGACCCGGCAGAGCGCCGTATCGCCGGTCCCGGAACCGGAGCCGGCCTCGGCGCGGCAGGCCGCTTAGGCGGGCCGCGGACGACACGGGTGCCGCTCTGGTGCGACGCTCGTGGTATTGTGATGCTTGTGTGATCGTGTGATGACAGAGAGACGGATTAGCACTTACATTTGGTTGGCCGAATTGAGTTCAATGAAGATAGATATTCGTAGTTCCTGCTTTGTGTGAAGTAGTGCACCTCACTAAAAAAGAAACATTTTTTACAAGTAACTAAATCGAGGCGTGTCATGTTATCGTAGTCGACATCAGTTTTTACACCAATGACGTTCGCTTACTAAGGTGCGAGTGCCGCACGTCTACACAATTCAACATCATTCTGATCGAGCCCGCCCCGGCCCCTGTCGCAGGCTGGATATCGCCTCCATGGCCGAGATGGAGAACGAGCGCGCTGCCGAGGAGGCCGCGGGCGCCGTCCGCGCCCCGTCGGCCGCCGCCGCGCAGATGGCAGCCGCCTAGATGGCAGCACAGGCCCGATAACGTCACCGCCCTACAGAGGAAGGGCAGAGGAAACTGCGATCCTGACGAAGTAGATTACAGAGGAACTGTGTGTTTTGTCGGTTGCCCCTCACTCTGCTGTAAATGTCGAGTTTCTCCCAGCCCTAATTGTGTCCCGGTTCCACCCACTTCTCGTCAACTCATCGGCTGTTCTTCTCGTCTCCCGCCTTTCCGCCCACCTCCCGCCATTTCCTCACCTCCCGTCGTTCTGCTAATCTCCCGTCGTTCCCGAAGCCTACAGCTGCACGGCGCTGTCCTCAGCGAGCTGAATGATATTCGCGTTCGATCTCTACAGAGCTCCATATATTTTGAAACGTAATGTTTGGTCTACCAAATAAAACCCATACGTATTTGGAACGGTTGTGCTCAAACTGACTGTTCAATACACCGAATGGTATATAAACGGTATACTGATGTCAAATGCTGCGTGCTTTTCTGCTGGAGACTTACAACCATGTAGTCCTTCGCCTTCTAGCCCATCCCATTCCCAAGCCAATGATCATATCTCGCCGTTTGTCCTTAGAAGAACGCAGACCAACCGAACCTTAGAAGAACCGACCAAACGCAAACAGTGCGGCATACTAGTAAGATATATATTTTGAAAAGAAACATCTTTAAAAACACATGCATGTTCGCAACATCATACGAATGGTCAAAATAACAGAAGCAAGAACATTTTAACACACTACCTGGCACTGTCAGTCGACACCCCTATATACGGCCTTGGTCGACACCGCTGTATCACAGAACGAGCACTCCTCAGAGCGAAGGCCGCGAGAATGAAATTACAAACGAGATAAGACCACTCCGAGAGTCACATCTAAACATTTCTGACAAAACACACCGTCCACATGTTCAACACAGGCACAACTTACAGCACTCCCACACAAACCCATCGACCAGTCAGTAGGCTGGCACGGCTGGTTGGCCACCATTAGGCCGACAGACCTCCAGCACACCTGTGCACAGTGCAGGCCCCACGCACCTCCCTTGCACCAGGTCCCCACACTCCTCCGAACATCGACTGTCCGCCTGAGTCCCCCACGGGCACAAAGCACATACACGGTGAGGGCACGTCCCTGCTTCGGTTCGTATCGGGGTGCAGAAGGAGCTGGTGTGACGTCACTCCACGCGGCGCGAGTGGCACCGGGCCGGCGTGGTCGCTCTTGTCCTGCTTCGAAGCGCCGCGGCTGCGACCGTCGGCAGAGGCGCAATCGGTACGGCCAACCGAACAGCCTGGTGTTCAGGTTACCGAAGCCCTCTCCAGCATGGAAAACAGGAGACTGTCACACTGGGGAAGTTTATGGCGTCTGTGGGCATACATATTTGACGTCAGCACATTCACAACACAGTTTAGCGAGTTGGTTGAACCAGCGTACGACAAACGCCCATTTGGTGTCTACCTCCTTCCAGTTGTCATCTACTGTCATTCCATGTCACCATGAAAAAGTGTTCAAAGTAATTCGTTTCTTCTGCGAACGGATACATGTTAAGACAGCAACCGCGAGTATCGGAGAAAACCGAAACGTGCCCGAAACGTGACGACATGGTACACTGTGAGAGATAAGCAACTTGTCAATTGTGATAACCTGTGATATCAATCCACTATTGTCCGATGAACTGGAACGAGGGATACAGTGTGAAAGCGACGATCCAAAAGTTGTAGTGAGCGATAGCGACTGCGTGACTGAACAGCGAGGCAATGAGCGAGAGATCGTACAAGAGGAGTGCGACGTCAGTCTCCAGCGAGGCCCGACAGGAAGCGACGCTCGTCCAGCTGCGCCTGTCGCAGGCGCGTCCTACAGGAGCATCAACAACTGGAGAATAGACGACTAGAAAACACAAAAACAAAAGGCGGAACCGGCGAGACAGTCAGGACTGCAAGACCTGGAGTTGGTGGCAGGGAAGGGCTGCAACCAATGGCCAGTTGGACGAAAATAGGAAACTACATGCTTATTTGAAATGCATAACGTATATGTCCGTTTGTTTGTCTTGTTTGCTTTTTAGGGCTTTGGGGTTCGCAGACTACGCGTTTAGAGCCTACTATAACTAGCCGGGACCTCCTCCCTGGCCACCTTGCACAGCTGACTGCTCTGGTGGCGCAGCATGGACGGTGATGAGCCCTTCAACCGGCTCATTCAGCTGATCAGCCACCACTACCCACAGGCGTAAACCGGGCAACAGTCTCTGGTTCGGATAAGCCAGGCTGTGCGGCGCACATGTGCCAGAGAGCACCAAGAAGTGCAAAGTCCCAGTGGAATTAGCAGCAACTGTTGTGAATACTGATGGGCCAAAATCTCCAGCCCAAAATGTGTTCGGGTTCAGTGTCAGATGGTTCTGGCTTTATCCCAGGTATTTATAGTTGAGTCTGAACACTCTTACCATGTGATGCCAGAAAACTGCCATGTGAACAGTCCTGTGAAGAGACTAAGAAAGAAGCTACGTCACCATAGATACGAGCAAAATAAGCCCCGACAAAGGCTCAGAGGTGAGACAAGCGGCTGTAGTGCTTAAAGACCTCTCTAGACGCTATCAAGGAGAACAGAGTCACTAAAGTAGTCCTAGTGAATGACCGCTGGAGCTCCACTTTCTCCAGCCCTCTGTCTGACCTTGAGGTGTGCCAGACTGCAGTGCGCCGGAAAGTTGGGCTGGAGCTGGTGAGGTTCCTCGATCTTGAAGTCATGGCACACTGAAAAGCGGCCCAGCTGGCAGATGGACAAGCGGGTTTGTGCTGCATCGTTATTGGTAGGGGAGAGTGGGGAAAGATGCCCAGGGTTTTGCTATGTCACAGATTATTCGAAAATGACGATCGGAAAGCAAAAACTTGGAGTTTCAACGGAAGCCGACATCATTTTTCTCCAAAAATATCACAGTTTCGTGCCTGAAATATGATAACTTTTTTGCTATGAAGCATTTTCCTGAAGAAGTAAAAGGGGGCATCTTACCCCACAGGGTGGGAAAGACGCCCCCAGGCGTTGGGGAAGATGCCCCCTGCACTATAAGTGACATAAATGGGCACGTGAATCGCCTGAACGAATCAGTAGTCCCTTCGAGCCTGCAGTAGACACCAAACGTCATCGTAAGGGCCCTCAAAAGTAGTCGTAAGGGGCCTCAGAGGTCATCGTTAGGGCCATCATAGTCCCGCGCGGCCAAACAAGCCTCCGTGGTGGCGTTCGGAGACCACTTTGAGGCCCTTATGATGCTTGAGGGCCCTCGAGCCCATCGTGGGGACCTTAGATGCCAGCGCGGCCCATGGAGCCAGCGTGGGAGCCCTCAAAGGATGTCGTGAGGGGCCCTGCAGCCAATAATGGGGCCCAAAGAGGCCGTCGTGAGGGCTCTCAGAGTCAGATGCCGCCCAAAAAGTCGCTGTGTGGGCCGAGAGACCGGGATGGGGAGCACCCGACCGTACTGGACTCTCAATAGTCCCAGATCGGCTTTTGTCTCTCATCACAAGTATATAATAAATGATTTGACGGGCTGCTTGAAGGACAGCCTACGGATTTAGGGGGGCGTCTTTCCCCATCAGGACAGGAGGCATCTTACCCCAAGGTACCGAAGTAACATTATATCAGCAGCATTTGTTAGCCATAAAACAACACCCTGAAACAAACTGTTTGGGACACAGTACACGCATGTTAATGTATCACGACTATAGCAAGGGACGCAAAAATTGTCTACCTTCTTTGATATTTACAATGTTTTGACACCAAAATATTTTTTGAAAGCAGCAAATAAAAAACATGCAATCACCAGCCAGTCGCTGCCCAACTGAGCTTCGAAAATTTTTGTGCAGTTAACAATTCAGGCTTCCGCTTTACGCTAAGAACATTAATTTCCAGGTTCGATTCTTTGTTTCGCCGCTAGAGGGGTGGGGCGTCTTTCCCACCCTGGGCATCTTACCCCACTCTCCCCTACATTGTTCCTTTGCCAGCTATCGCTCTGTTTAAATGACTTCAGCTGCGGTGTCAACTTCCCTGTGAGAAAGAAGAAGACTTACTTATTCAAAAATCTAAAAACAGCATCATCAGCGTTTTCAACAATTGACACATAACGTATTCAAGCACGCTAGGTAGCCAGGGAGAATGTTCAGCAGGAGCGGCTCATCTCACACGTTGCAGCCATTGCCATTGCCATTGCCAGTGCCATTGCAGAACGGCTGCTACGCGCAACCATCATGGAGTCAGCGTCGCACCTGTCATCTGAGCGCAGCTCGTCGCGACACCCACGGAATGTGGGGTCGACGTAGGTGGCAGAAACCACAGCACCGGGATGACCTGCAAAGCGAGAACCTTGCATCCTGTGATTTTGGATAAGCTGGCCACCACTGTCGAAAATGAACCATGTGTGGCTGTGATGGCGGACAAAGTGACCCTGCATAACAGAACGGTGGACATCACAGCAATCAACTTCGCTCTACCAGATGCCCCATCGGATGCAATGCTGCAAAACTTTGTGATCGTAGCCCTGTGGTCGCATCCCACGATGGAGATGGGCTTGCTGCTAAGCTTAAGGAAAGCTTGGGGAGAGTAAGTGTAAATCGGCCAACACAGATATCGGCTTTCGGCGGCGATCGGCAATACCATCATCTGAGCGAGCCCCGAAACTTGCAAGAGCTCTGCACACTGAGATGCTGAAGACTTCACCATCCCTGCTGTGTGGGATCCAATGCCACGCCACCTGGTAAGGTTGGCAATTAACGCCGCCAGCTCCTCGGTGACTAAGGAGATTAAAACTGGATGCATATACTCGTACACGTAGTGCATGTACACATATGTCCACCTGTAAGTAATTCTTCATGGCCTAAAAACCTAAGCGTTGTATCAATTACTTTTCTATCCATACCCATATTTCACTATACACATCAGAGATGTAAACTCGAGGGCAAGACACCTAATCATGGCATTTTGTTAGGTAAAAATTAGTCACTGTTACAGGAAACGTCCAGAAACGCTGCCAAGAGGAGGTTCACACTCGCTAAAGCTCAAGTGGTTGTCGAGGACGCCTTCAGTGTACTGAAATCGCGGTTCAGAAGGCTGACGTACCTGGAGACCAAGTCTGTCCTAAAGGCTATCAACGTGACTGCCGTAGCCTGTGTGCTGCACAATATGCATTGGTTGGGTAAAGATGAGTGGGAATACCCGATCTCGGAAGGCATTTTTTTTCTAAAAAATGTGGCGATAAATCGGCAACAGATGCTCGCGAACACGTGAAAATATAAGGGTCAGTGTCAGCAATGAAGAAATTGAAGAAAAACGAGCCGCAGTTCAACGAGTAAGGCAAGGAGCATAAACAAAAAAACACTTATCACAAAGCAACGAGAAAAGACGTGACGAGCACGGACGAAAAGCAAATAGTCGGGCCTGCAGTGAAGCAAGACCATGGGCTTAGAAATGGCATGGCGCACAAATTCTGCTGGAAATGTGCGAATGATGGCCGTTTTACACGTTGCAAGTTTTCAATCGCCGGTCGCTCGCTGTGTTTTATCTATCATCCTAAGTCGGTTTCTATTGGTTATTTTGTCACCATGGCATAAGTGTTCCGCCGTATGATTGTGGAAGAATTGTAATAGCGAAACGGTTCACAGGCTCGCCAACATTAACGCCGGTAGGCTAGTAAGCGAAAGTGGCGGCAGCATTTTCGCCAACTCCGACCTCGCCGGCCTGCTGCGACGGCAGATGGAGTCGGGCGATGTGCTGCCTGGCCCGCGCCCTCTGTCCAACACGGACGTCAGCCTGCCCCACTACCTGGTGGACGACGAGGTGTCCCCCTGCAGCGCCGCCTGATGCTGCCGTATCCGAGAGCGTCCCTAGCAGGCGAGGCAGCCGACGCTCGACGGATTTTTAACTACCGCCTCAGCCGGGCCCGCCGTTGCGTGGAGAACGCATTCGGCATCATGGCCCAGCGCTGGCGGATCTTCCGCGGCACGGTGGGAGTAGCGCCTGACAAGGCAGTCGTAATTGTGAAGACTAACTATCTGTGCGCTCCACAACTTCATGAGACGGCGGGAGATCAATGCTGAAACCGGGCGGTGAGTGGCGAGGTGTTCCCTCCGCAACACCACCTGACCCGGCCCAGCCCCAGAGCGCCCCCGACTCCAAAAGGACAAATTCAGTCGGATCTTCAACTTGTCACTGCGGGGATAGCCGCTGTGACGAGATTTCATATATGACAAAGTGCGGCAGGATTGCCGACTACCAACAGGTGGTTCTGGGCCATCTCAACAAGTTTATAAACGAGAAAATCCAAGATCTGCGCCGCAGGTCGAGCCGCGTTAGCCAGAGACCGGCAGTCCTCGCGCCTCGGGCCAACAAGCAGCTCGTCTCTCGAGTGTCGACTGCCGAGTGCCGAACTCCACGGGGACTACCGGCGGGACCTCGGCTATGGCACAGCCACCTACCGCTCGCTCGAGGGCTGCGTCGGCGCGCACGGCTAACGATGATGGGGGGGGGGGCGGAGCAGCTGTCGACGTGGGCGCCGTCGTGGCCGGCCTGCAGCAGTCGGGCCTGCTCACTGCCGCGGCTGTGGGGGCGGCGGCGCCGCCGGCGACTGTGAAGCGGGAGGATGACAGCGAGTTCGGCCGCTCTCCGATTCAGCGGTGGCTATGGCTGGAGGACCTCAGAATCCAGATCGACAAATCGGCCCACTTCGGCGTCAGGGAGAGGGAGGAGGTCAGGGGCCTCCTCATTATCCTCAGGCGAACATGGCCGGTGGAGGAGAGCGAGTCATTTGGTCGTGTGACATGGAATGGTTTGATTGGGTTGGGAAAATAAAATGAGAGCCCACGATATGAGAGCATTGACCGTCCTCGACAGTGTACACCGTCGACTGTGCACTGACGCGGCCGGCGCGGCGGCGCCCAGTCGACGCTTTCCGGAGGGAGGCCATTCGCCGGGCAGTGCAACATCACGCGCGGAAGGCCTTCATTATAGCGGGCGGCAACGACCTCGCCCGGCCCGACTTTAACGTTCACCGCTGGATCACACAGCTGGAGGAACTAACGCTCGGCCTTCTCGCCGCCGGGGTCGCATAGATTTGGGTGCTCCCAATTCCCCCTCGCGCCGTGCTCCACAAGGCCACCGTATCGGCGCGGCGGTTCCGGCGCCCACGCTGGTCCGTCAACAGGATCCTCCGTCGGTTGTTCCGCCGCTCCCCGGTCGTGGTGCTGTCATTCGTGTTTCCGCCGATTTCCTGGGGTCGGATGGCGTGCACCCATCGATGGCCGACTGGCGGGCTCTCGCAGAGGTCGTCCGAGTTGCCACCTCCTCCCCAACGCCAGTCCCGGGGCCTCCCCCCCCCCTAATAACGAGCTGTTCCCACGGTGAAAGTCAAGCTGAAAAATATGAAGAGCCTGTACCAGGAGCGGAGGCGGAAGATGTCTGGCTCTTGTGCAGCGGCGGTTCCTCCATTAGGAGGAACTTATCCAGCGCCTGGAGCTTCTGGATGAGCTGATGGCAAGCCGCCGTTCTATATACTGCCACTGCCTCAGTGGCTGAGCTGAGCCGGTTGGAAGGCCAGTGGCCATCCAGCCGGATGTCGCCGTACAGTATTCCGTCGAGGCGGCGTGGATGCTCGGGCAGCAGTGACAGCAGCTGCAGAGGTAGGAGCGGCTACGGCAGCCGTGCGGCGGCAGTGTCGGCCGCGGCGCAAGCAGCAGCCGCGCTAGCAGTGTCACCGAAGCTGATGTCAACGTGGGTGGCAGCTGTGCAGCTCAGCAACTTCACCCGCTGAGACGGCAGGTCAGCTGCCGTCTACAGAGGGGGCCACAGAGAGCCTAGAGAAAAGCTGGTGACTCTGCTGGAGGCCAGCGTCGCCCGCGATGGCCAGGTGCTCAAGACCATGGCCGAGAGTGAGGCCAGCATGGCGGAAAGCCTGGAACGGTCGGTGGAACAGGGCGAACAACATTTGAACTTATGTACCGAGATGGTGCGCGCCCTGCAGCAGTTTATGGGGCAGCGGGGACCCGGCCGCAGAGACGGCTAAGGAGAGGCTGCGGAATGTAAATATACATAAATGAGACTCTGACAACTCTTTGTATCCTTTGACAGTTCGTCCTCGCTTCGGGTTTGTCGTATATTCCATGGGCTTGTCGTATATTCCAGCACTTGTAAATCCACAACTGGCCGTCGTGGTGTTGCTTCGGTGTCTCCGTAAGTGTACTGTTCTTATATGGCGAGTTATGCTTGACTCGCATGTGTGTGTGTGCACGAAGTTACGAGGAAACACGTTATTATACCAGTGAAGCGTCTTTTCGTCGATGAGAGATTGAACGCGCTCGATATGTAAAGGAAAAGTAGTCCAAATACATATGTACATATACATACTTCGACCATGCTGCAAGCTCGCAAACAATCGCAACACGACGTAATGAAATGGACAGAAACATAATGGGCATGGCCATGACGGGCTTGGTGACGATGCAAGTCAGTCAGTGTGGAGGAACATGAAACCTGAGTGGAGTGGCGCAGCCCAAGCAAGAGAAGTGGTCAGATGGTCTGGATGCATGACAACACATTGCTCCTCACTTCAACACGCGGTGAGCATGTATTGGGTGGGACATTACTAAAGGGAAGAAATGCAATGACGAAGCAAAGATGATGAAACGTCGCAACGCACGACTCGAGCCGCAGCTGCCACCCGCAGACAATGCCTAAGCGTTGCATACATCCGGTTGCTTGGTTGCCCAAATACATCTCGGGCACCGCAATGACTGAATACGTTTGTCCTTTCAAGCAAAAACACAGCACAGCTGAACAGATAACTAAGATCACTGTTTGCCCTACGGTTCGAGCAGTCGTCTGCATCACGTGTGTTCCCGAGTTCAACCCATACGTACACATGGAGTAAGCGTGTGACCGGCGTGTTCAGTTATGACCAATGACTTTTCGATCCGAACGAGCTTTGATGTCAGTTGTAAGGTGTGTCGCGGTATGTTTATTAAGGTGTATCGCGGTATGCTGAAACAACCCATCATTCTTTCTATAATGTAAATTTACTTCACCAAATCATATTGGGAAATATTCCCTCTAAAGGGTGAGTATACAGTACATCCTAAGGCAAGTAGTTAGTTATGGGGAGGATCCCAACCAACTTAATTTAATGAAATGAAACAATCAACGTCGAAGGTAAGCGATGGCTTTGGCCTCAATTTCCATCACAGGGAAATGTTACAATGCAACCACGCTGCTATTACATTTTGCAAGCTGCCGCCACACATATAATGGTGTTGGAGCATTGGGCCTGTTGCTAAAACCATGAATACCCAATTTGATGCATGTAATGGCAGCGTGCTGCTATCTTCGGTGAGACAAAGCCCAGTGTTCCAAATGCTCGTTTCGATCCGGCCAAAGCAGTACAAAATGGGATGGCTATTTGGGAGATCAGACCGGTCGTGCCAGCCGTGATGGATAACAAGAACGACCCCGGCGAACTGCCGAAATTAACTACCCAGAGGCTACCCTTTTGCTTCATCCCGGCTGGTATCGATTTGGGATTCACCTTCATGCATCCTTTTGTGACCTCCAAATAGCGAAATCAGATTTCGCAAAATAAATACACTAGCTTGACACATGGATGTAAAACCAGGCCTAGTTCACGACCAGTGGACAAACACTACGCCCAATAGATGTAGTGGCAACAAACATGCTTTCGACACCATGTAGAAATGTCTCTGGTAACTGGAAGACTATAGGTATGAAATTTGACTGCATGTAGATCGAACTTGCATCTGCATGAATGCCAATATGTAAAATTGTAACGGGGATGTATGTGACTATGTATGTGTGTATGCAATTATGCATGTATGTCTGTCGCCATGTAGGTTTGTATGGATGTAGGGAAATTGCCGTCGTCATCCCGCCGAACGTGGCGCTTACGACTGAGACAATGTACGTGCGGTTGTATGAGTGTATGTAACAGTATGCTGGCAGGCCAGCGGTGACCCGGACAGCAACTGACAGAGGACGAGCAAAGGGGCGAACGGGCCCGGGGCGCTAATGGCGTGCCGAACATCTCCGGTGCGTTGTGCCGCACTGGCAGGGACTACCTCCGTCCCAACCCTCAAGTCATCCGCGGTGCCGGGAGGTAGCAAGCACAGCGGCGATCAAGCACGGCGGCGATCAGATGAACGACCACGGCGGCAGGCACGGCTGGCGATCGCCGACGAGAGCCGCCGGGTGTGGTCAGATCGCCCTGCACGACTGGGAGCCGCGTCGCTCTCGGCTCGGTCAATGTCGCCGTCGGAAAGCAGAAAAGAGAGAGGATGTCGTCGTCGCGGTGGCAGAGAAGAGAATGAAGTAGAAGCCGTCGCGGATGAAGCCGTCGCGAATGCAGAGAGGATGTGAAGTGTGTCGCCATGAGGGCTGATGAGCGGACCAGCCCGGCCGGTTGCAGCTATGCACCGTACGCCGGCTGGACACCGCTGAAGAGGTGCAGCGGACCCTCCAAACCGCTGCTCTGGCTGGTGGCTGCTGCTCGACGACTGTGCGATCAAACTGACTGGTGGCTGCTGATCGACTACTGTGCGATCGGATTGACTGGGGGCTGCTGGTTGACTACTGTGCGATCGGACGGGCTGGTGGCTGACGGTCGACTACTGCGCGACGGCACCGCGACGGCTTCCGAGCCGCCCCAAAGTAAGGGGATTTAACCCCAGGCCCAAAGAGGGGGGAATTTATGCAAGGTGTGTCGCGGTATGTTTATTAAGGTGTATCGCGGTATGTTCATTTTCGCCCGCCTTTTGACATTTAGTTTATATAAGATGTAACGCTAGGAATTCGTGTATCGCGGTATGTTCATTTTCGCCCGCCTTTTGACATTTAGGAACACGTCGAGGTCAGCGTAGTCAGAACCGTAAGTCACTGTCGCCCGATCCATTTTAGCCTCAGACCGGGTGACAGGACTTATCCGCCTTCGGGCGAGTATATAACCGCAGCGGGGAGTGAGAACGGGGTCAGTGCCTGTACGCCGACCAAGCTGCAACGCTGCACCCGACCTCAACCACGCTGCTGGTAAGCTGGCTCGAAGGTAGGTTCCGACTACGCAGGGATGCTGTGCGAGCTCAAGGCACATCCCATAGATAGGTAGGAGCAAGCGGGTGGAGGGTTAGGTTAGCATGCGTGGCGTTAGGGTATTGTTAGGGTAGATAACGTTCGCGGTAGGAAATTAGGCTTTTGAAATGAAAACGTATAAATTCGCGCAGTCCGTTATAATCACATTACGAAATTACGAACAATAAATGGGGCATTGAATTGACCAGATGCTTTTGGTAACGGGATGAGTCGGAGGAGAACGGGGATTGAGCGGAGTCTAACTTTATCGGTACATTAGTAAAGTCATCAATGGCCAGGAGCTTCACTCCTAAACCCATAAGGGCGCGCTACCAACCGCGGTGTGCCTCAAAATGGCGGAGTGATTCTCACTGGTACCACGATGCATTGTAACTTAACGTAAAATAGTAGTATTAGACATTGGGATGTACGTGGCCCGAGTGGCAGTCGGGCACAGGCTGGGAGACGTCTCAGCCTAACACGGACATCATGTAGAGTAGTAGTAAAACAACCAGAGGGGAGGCTGCGAAAGGCCAACAGGACCGGCCCGAGCCCCCCCCCCCCCCCCCCTACACAGTGAGCGATTGCCAACAGTATTCAGCCAATTGAAAATGTAAAAATGTATCTAAAAGGACGGGAGCATGGCAGAGCGAAGGAAGCCCGCCACACGCGGTCCGCCGCCGTCAACAGAGGGGTCACACAGAGCCTAGAGAAAAGCTGGTGGCTCTGCTGGAGGCCAGCGTCGCCCGCGATGGCCAGGTGCTCAAGACCATGGCCGAGAGTGAGGCCAGCATGGCGGAAAGCCTGGAACGGTCGGTGGAGCAGGGCGAACAACATTTGAACTTATGTACCGAGATGGTGCGCGCCCTGCAGCAGTTTATGGGGCAGCGGGGACCCGGCCGCAGAGACGGCTAAGGAGAGGCTGCGGAATGTAAATATACATAAATGAGACTCTGACAACTCTTTGTATCCTTTGACAGTTCGTCCTCGCTTCGGGTTTGTCGTATATTCCATGGGCTTGTCGTATATTCCAGCACTTGTAAATCCACAACTGGCCGTCGTGGTGTTGCTTCGGTGTCTCCGTAAGCGTACTGTTCTTTTATATAACATTACTGTTCTTATATGGCGAGTTATGCTTGACTCGCATGTGTGTGTGTGCACGAAGTTACGAGGAAACACGTTATTATACCAGTGAAGCGTCTTTTCGTCGATGAGAGATTAAACGCGTTCGATATGTAAAGGAAAAGTAGTCCAAATGCATATACATACTTCGACCATGCTGCAAGCTGGCAAACAATTGCAACACGACGCAATAAAATGGACAGAAACATAATGGACATGGCCATGACGGGCTTGGTGACGATGCAGGCCAGTCAGCGTGGAGGAACATGAAACCTGAGTGGAGCGGCGCAGCCCAAGCAAGAGAAGTGGTCAGATGGTCGGGATGCATGAACACATTGCTCCTCACTTCAACACGCGGTGAGCATGTATTTGGTGGAACAGTATAAAGGGGAGAAATGCAATGACGAAGCAAAGATGATGAAACGTCGCAACGCACGACTCGAGCCACAGCTGCCACCCGCAGACAATGCCTAAGCGTTGCATACATCCGGTTGCTTGGTTGACCAAATACATCCAGGGCACCGCAATGACTGAATACGTTTGTCCTTTCAAGCAAAAACACAGCACAGCTGAACAGATTACTAAGATCACTGTTTGCCCTGCGGTTCGAGCAGTCGTCTGTATCACGTGTGTTCCCGAGTTCAACCCAGACGTACACATGGAGTAAGCGTGTGACCGGCGTGTTCAGTTATGACCAATGACTTTTCGATCGGAACGAGCTTTGATGTCAGTGAGCGACTGCCACCAGTCTTCAGCCAATTGAAAATGTAAAAATGTATCTAAAAGGACGGGAGCATGGCAGAGCGAAGGAAGCCCGCCACACGCGGTCCGCCGCCGTCAATAGAGGGTCCACACAGAGCCTACAGAAAAGCTGGTGGTGACTGCTGGGGGCCAGCGTCGCCCGCGACGGCCAGGTGCTCAAGACCATGGCCGAGAGTGAGGCCAGCATGGCGGAAAGCCTGGAACGGTCGGTGGAGCAGGGCGAACAACATTTGAACTTATGTACCGAGATGGTGCGCGCCCTGCAGCAGATTATGGGGCAGCGGGGACCCGGCCGCAGAGGCGGCTGAGGAGAGGCTGCGGAATGTAAATTACATAAATGAGACTCTGACAACTCTTTGTATCCTTTGACAGTTCGTCCTCGCCTCAGGTTTGTCGTACATTCCATGGGCTTGTCGTATATTCCAGCACTTTAAAATCCACAACTGGCCGTCTTGGTGTTGCTTCGGTGTCTCCGTAGGTGTACTGTTCTTATATGGCGAGTTATGCTTGACTCGCATGTGTGTGTGTGCACGAAGTTACGAGGAAACACGTTATTATACCAGTGAAGCGTCTTTTCGTCGATGAGAGATTGAACGCGCTCGATATGTAAAGGAAAAGTAGTCCAAATACATATACATACTTCGACCATGCTGCAAGCTCCAAACAATTGCAACACGATGTAATGAAATGGACAGACACATAATGGGCATGGCCATGACGGGCTTGGTGACGATGCAAGTCAGTCAGTGTGGAGGAACATGAAACCTGAGTGGAGCGGCGCAGCCCAAGCAAGAGAAGTGGTCAGATGGTCGGGATGCATGACAACACATTGCTCCTCACTTCAACACGCGGTGAGCATGTCTTGGGTGGGACATTACTAAAGGGAAGAAATGCAATGACGAAGCAAAGATGATGAAACGTCGCAACGCACGACTCGAGCCGCAGCTGCCACCCGCAGACAATGCCTAAGCGTTGCATACATCCGGTTGCTTGGTTGCCCAAATACATCTCGGGCACCGCAATGACTGAATACGTTTGTCCTTTCGAGCAAAAACACAGCACAGCTGAACAGATAACTAAGATCACTGTTTGCCCTGCGGTTCGAGCAGTCGTCTGTATCACGTGTGTTCCCGAGTTCAACCCAGACGTACACATGGAGTAAGCGTGTGACCGGCGTGTTCAGTTATGACCAATGACTTTTCGATCCGAAAGAGCTTTGATGTCAGTTGTAAGGTGTGTCGCGGTATGTTTATTAAGGTGTATCGCGGTATGCTGAAACAACCCATCATTCTTTCTATAATGTAAATTTACTTCACCAAATCATATTGGGAAATATTCCCTCTAAAGGGTGAGTATACAGTACATCCTAAGGCAAGTATTTAGTTATGGGGAGGATCCCAACCAACTTAATTTAATGAAATGAAAGTTGAAACAATCAACGTCGAAGGTAAGCAATAGCTTTGGCCTCAATTTCCATCACAGGGAAATGTTACAATGCAACCAAGCTGCTATTACATTTTGCAAGCTGCCGCCACACATATAATGGTGTTGGAGCATTGGGCCTGTTGCTAAAACCATGAATACCCGATTTGACACATGTAATGGCAGCGTGCTGCTATCTTCGGTGAGACAAAGCCCAGTGTTCCAAATGCTCGTTTCGATCCGGCCAAAGCAGTACAAATTGGGATGGCTATTTGAGAGATCAGACCGGTCGTGCCAGCCGTGATGGATAACAAGAACGACCCCGGCGAACTGCCGAAGTTAACTACCCAGAGGCTACCCTTTTGCTTCATCCCGGCTGGTATCGATTTGGGATTCACCTTCATGCATCCTTTTGTGACCTCCAAATAGCGAAATCAGATTTCGCAAAATAAATACACTAGCTTGACACATGGATGTAAAACCCTGCCTAGTTCACGACCAGTGGACAAACACTACGCCCAATAGATGTAGTGGCAACAAACATGCTTTACGACACCATGTAGAAATGTCTCTGGTAACTGGAAGACTATAGGTATGAAATTTGACTGCATGTAGATCGAACTTGCATCTGCATGAATGCCAATATGTAAAATTGTAACGGGGATGTATGTGACTATGTATGTGTGTATGCATGTATGTATGTATGTATTATGTATGTCGCCATGTAGGTTTGTATGGATGTAGGGAAATTGCCGTCGTCATCACGCCGAACGTGGCGCTTACGACTGAGACAATGTACGTGCGGTTGTATGAGTGTATGTAACAGTATGCTGGCAGGCCAGCGGTGACCCGGACAGCAACTGACAGAGGACGAGCAAAGGGGCGAACGGGCCCGGGGCGCTAATGGCGTGCCGAACATCTCCGGTGCGTTGTGCCGCACTGGCAGAGACTACCTCCGTCCCAACCCTCGAGTCATCCGCGGTGCCAAGAGGTAGCAAGCACAGCGGCGATCAAGCACGGCGGCGATCAGATGAAGGACCACGGCGGCAGGCACGGCTGGCGATCGCCGACGAGAGCCGCCGGGTGTGGTCAGATCGCCCTTCAAGACTGGGAGCCGCGTCGCTCTCGGATCGGTCAATGTCACCGTCGGAAAGCAGAAAAGAGAGAGGATGTCGTCGTCGCGGTAGCAGAGAAGAGAATGAAGTAGAAGCCGTCGCGGATGAAGCCGTCGCGAATGCAGAGAGGATGTGAAGTGTGTCGCCATGAGGGCTGATGAGCGGACCAGCCCGGCCGGTTGCAGCTATGCACCGTACGCCGGCTGGACACCGCTGAAGAGGTACAGCGGACCCTCCAAACCGCTGCTCTGGCTGGTGGCTGCTGCTCGACGACTGTGCGATCAAGCTGACTGGTGGCTGCTGATCGACTACTGTGCGATCGGATTGACTGGGGGCTGCTGGTTGACTACTGTGCGATCGGACGGGCTGGTGGCTGACGGTCGACTACTGCGCGACGGCACCGCGACGGCTTCTGAGCCGCCCCAAAGTAAGGGGATTTAACCCCAGGCCCAAAGAGGGGGGAATTTATGTAAGGTGTGTCGCGGTATGTTTATTAAGGTGTATCGCGGTATGTTCATTTTCGCCCGCCTTTTGACATTTAGGAACACGTCGAGGTCAGCGTAGTCAGAACCGTAAGTCACTGTCGCCCGATCCATTTTAGCCTCAGACTGGGTGACAGGACTTATCCGCCTTCGGGCGAGTATATAACCGCAGCGGGGAGTGAGAACGGGGTCAGTGCCTGTACGCCGACCAGGCTGCAACGCTGCACCCGACCTCAACCACGCTGCTGGTAAGCTGGCTCGAAGGTAGGTTCCGACTACGCAGGGATGCTGTGCGGGCTCAAGGCACATCCCATAGATAGGTAGGAGCAAGCGGGTGGAGGGTTAGGCTAGCATGCGTGGCGTTAGGGTATTGTTAGGGTAGATAACGTTCGCAGTAGGAAATTAGGCTTTTGAAATGAAAACGTATAAATTCGCGCAGTCCGTTATAATCACATTACGAAATTACGAACAATAAATGGGGCATTGAATTGACCAGATGCTTTTGGTAACGGGATGAGTCGGAGGAGAACGGGGATTGAGCGGAGTCTAACTTTATCGGTACATTAGTAAAGTCATCAATGGCCAGGAGCTTCACTCCTAAACCCATAAGGGCGCGCTACCAACCGCGGTGTGCCTCAAAATGGCGGAGTGATTCTCACTGGTACCACGATGCATTGTAACTTAACGTAAAATAGTAGTATTAGACATTGGGATGTACGTGGCCCGAGTGGCAGTCGGGCACAGGCTGGGAGACGTCTCAGCCTAACACGGATATCTTGTTTGTTTATTGGGGCTTAAGGGCGCGCCGACTACAAGGTCATTTTGCGCCCATAACTATATACAAGTAAAGCAAGTGTGTCACAAGAAAACCGGCGTAAAAAAGGCTTAAAAAAGCCTAAAAGCTGGTTAAAAAGAGCAAAGAATGGTAAAATACTCCAAGCGTATCGTAAAAGACAGCTGACTAGGCGTAGGGACTAGATTAGAATAGACGTATGGACTAGTTGGTTTGGTATCAGATCGAGTAGATTACTTGGAATTTGATTGAACGGATAAAGGAAAAGATGTTGCCAGATAAAACCCAGGGTGACTCGTCACCCAGCAAGTGGCGGACGGTGATATCCGGAGCGATGCGGCCCAGGTAGCGAGTCCGGTCCGGTTCCAAGCGTCGACAAGATAAAAGCACGTGGGCGACGGTGAGAGGCACGGCGCACCCGCCGCAAACGGGCTGCTCATCTCCGCGGAGAAGGTGGCCATGCGTCGCATACGTATGACCGATGCGGAGCCTGCATAAAATCACTTCGTTTGACCTGTTGTCTTGCGAGCAAGACCTCCAATGCTCCAGAGTCGGCTTCACCTCTCGGAGCTTCCTGCCTCCACGCAGGCGCCACTCTGCCTGCCACTCCGTTAGAATAAAAGATCGTACAGCAGGGTAAAAATCACGCGCCGGCAATGGCAACCGACGAGTGCAGGGTGCTGCAGCAGCACGCCTTGCAGCCGCATCTGCCAGCTCATTGCCATGAACGCCAACGTGACTGGGAATCCAGCAGAACTGAACAGATTTACCCGATTGTTCTACTGACTGAAGCCGAGCTAAAATGTCTTGAACGATCGGGTCGGCTGGATTAAAACTCCCTAGGGCCAACAGGCTGCTTAGGGAGTCCGATAAAATCAAGTAAAAAGGTCCGTCCGATACCTCAATAAAACACAAAGCCTTCTCGATGGCAACAAGTTCCGATGAAAACACCGAGGCGAAAGATGGCAACGAAAATGAACGGGTATCGTTGCCAGCGACGAAAGAACAGCCCGCTCCCTCAGGTGTTTTAGAGCCGTCTGTGAATACAGGAATAAAACCATCGTAAGAGGCAAGGTGTTCCAAGGCTCGGACTCGTGCCTCTGCAGGCAGCAACTTGCCCTTTGGAACTGCAGAAAGCGAAAGATCCACCTGTGGACTGACACTTTTCCACGGTGGAGGGGGCGCAGCCCAGGTACGACGAACGTTACGCAATGCTATGTCAGCTATTGAAAACAGTTCCTTCATGCGCACTCCGAACGAGGGTCGTAACCTTCCGTTACATCGGGTGGCATGACGTGAAAAAACGTATGGGTACGTCGGGTGCATAGGAAATTGGCGCAGTTTCAGCGCGTACCGCATACCCAACATCTGACGGCGGAGTGAAAGTGGCGGTTCATGCGCCTCAGCAAGAATGCTGCTCCTGGGCGAGGTGCGGAATGCTCCGGTGGCTACTCGGAGTGCTGCATGATGGACTGTATCCAGGACCCTCTTGCTAGATTCACTCGCTGAATCGTAGACAAAAGAAGCGTAATCTAGCTTCGATCGTACAATAGATCGATATAGAAGAAGAAGGGTCCTGCGGTCCGCACCATAAGATGTGCGGGCGACACATTTTAAAACGTTCAGGGATTTAAAACATCGTTCCCGAAGCGTTCTAAAATGTTCTTTATACGTTAAACGACTGTCAAAAAAGATCCCAAGAAACTTCGCCACCGGATGAGTAGGAATCACCTGTCCATAGAGCTGGATTCCCAAGGGAAGGTTGCCGCAGCGGCGGCGGCAAAAGTGCATAGCGACGGTCTTCGTTGTTGAAAAACGAAGACCGTTGTCACGACTCCATCTCTCCAACCGCGTCACTGCAAGCTGCAGCTGTCTGGCCATATGCCGAGCGCTTGAAGCGGCAAACCAAATGGCAAAATCATCCACGAAGAGCGATCTACCGATCGAGACCGGCAGATCATCAGCGATGTCATTAATCGCCACTGCAAAGAGAGCCACACTAAGCACCCCGCCCTGGGGAACTCCGTTCTCTTGAGTAAAACTGCTCGAAAGACTACTGCCAACTCGGACTTTGAACCGACGACCCGATAAAAAGTTCTTAATAAAGAGGCCCATCCGGCCGCGTATGCCGTACTTGTGTACTTTGGAAAGTATTCTGTGTCGTAACACTGTATCATAGGCCGCCTCAATATCAAAGAACAGTGCTCCAAGGTGCTTCTTTTCAGTAAAACAGGTGCGTATCTCGGTGTCGAGGGCCAAAATGTGGTCAACAGGGCTGCGGTGCTTTCTAAAACCGCACTGGGCGTTTGTAAAAACACCGTGATGTTCCAAAAACCAGCTAAGACGCACATTGACCATCTTCTCCATCAGCTTTGAAAGCGATGATGTGAGAGAGATGGGCCGATAGTGGAGAGGGTCATGTCCCGACTTGCCAGCCTTCAAGATAGGAATGATAGTGGCTTCCCGCCAGGTCTCAGGGAAAGTGCCAGTCTCCCAAAGCGAATTGAAGGTTGCTAGCAGCGCCTCGAGGGCAACCGCCGGGAGATGACGGAGCATGTCGTTGTGGACAGCATCCGGACCTTCTGAGACGCTGCGCAACGAGCTGATGGCAGACGTGAGCTCAGCCATAGAGAAAGGCTCATTGTACATCAAATTTTCAGCTGTGCTGAAGTCCACGGCGGCTGGTGCAGGTCGTGAGGACGGCTCTCCTCGGCAGCGCTGATAGAGTGCACGGCCTATCGTCTCTGCGACGTCTAAAGGGTGGGATATGTCCGTGTTGTTCACTCTTAAAACCGGAAGCGGAACAGAGCTGAACCGGCCTTCAATGCGCTTCATGCGTGCCCATATCTGGGTCGTAGGAGTAAAACGGTTTAAGGAACTCACGTACGTGCGCCATGAAACAGCCTTTGCCTCTTTTAAAACGCGACGGGCAAAAGCCCGCGCTTTCTTAAAAGCGATGAGGTTCTCAGTAGTACTACTCCGGTCAAACTTTCTAAAAGCGCGCTTCCTGGCACGAATCGCATCTCCGCATTCCTTGGTCCACCACGGGACCGGAGGACGACGAGGCTGACTCGACGTCTTGGGTATGCACCCGTTTGCGGAGTCAATGAGTAAACATGTAAAATCATCTGTAGACATCACAGAGGCGCCGGCTCTGGATAAAACTGTGGCCTCTACGGCGGCCTGGAATTCGCCCCAGTCGGCCTTCCGAACATTCCACCTAGGTGGACGGTTGCCTGACACTGGGGACTCCTGGTGCTCCAGCCACACTGGGAAGTGGTCGCTCCCGAGTGGGTCGTCATGGACGGACCAGGTAAAAAGCTGAGCTAGCCGCGGACTGACTAAGCTCAGGTCCAGAGCCGATGTTTGACCGGAGGGTGTTGTAAAATGGGTGCGCTGTCCTGTATTTAAAATACACAGCGCCTCATCGCGGATAAAAGATTCTAAAAGTCGACCACGAGTGCCAGTCGTGTCGCATCCCCACGCCAGGCTATGGGCATTAAAATCGCCGACTACCAGGACCGGAGGTGGAAGCTCATCGACAAGTCGATGCAGCTCAACCACCGGGAGCGCTATACCTGGTGGTAGGTATAAAGAGCACACTGTCAGTTCCCGGTGGTTGAAATCAACTCTGGCGGCCACCGCCTGCAGGGGAGTCTGCAGTGGCACCTGGCGAGCAGGTACGCTGTGGTGAACCGCCAGAAGCACACCTCCATGGGCAATGGTAGGGGTGTCCAGGTCTCTTCTAAAAACAGAGTAGCCCTTGATGGCAAAGGTAACGTTTGGCGCTAGCTTGGTCTCCTGGAGACCTAAAACAAGGGGTGTGCGCCAACGGATAAGAGACTGTAGGTCCTGGTAGTTGGCCCGGAGGCCTCTACAGTTCCACTGTAGAATAAAAGGCGTGGTTAAAAAGGCGCAAAAAGGGCGCGTATAACATGAGGCAAAGGCGCACACAGATACCTGACTGACCACAAAAAAAGGTAAAAAACACCGAGAGAAATGCACCTGGTAAAAAAGCGCAATAGCGCGAAAAAGATAAAAGGATAAAAGAGGAAATGACTAGACTGAAAGACTAGACTAGGTCCTCTAACTCCGAGGAGGCGCTCCCCCCGTAACGGATACGGGGATGCCCCGAGCCCTCTCGGTGTAGCCTCCCTTCAGCAGAGGCAGATCGGGCGTGGCTCGAGCCCTGCTGGGGCTTTTTCGCCCGGGGGGCGTCACCCTCCGAGGGTGACCAGCTCGGGGGCGTCTGCCGCTTGGCGAGGCGCCCTGGAGCCGCGGAGGTCTGTTGCCGCCCCGACGGGGATGTCGAGGCGGCGGCCTGTGTCCTCGACACAGGCGTCTCTGGCAGCGGCGGTGGTGGCCGCCGCTGCGGAGGTGGAGGAGGCGGCGGGGGACCCATGATGGGCCGAGTCCCCGCCTCGGGTGTCTCCGGGGTGTCAGCGGCAACAGCCGCTTTGGCACTCCCGGAGGCGGAGTCGGCAGACGAGGCTTCCTTAGCCTCGAGGGCCTTCTGGACGAGGCGAGCCCTCCTCGCCTCTCGTGCCCTCCTCTCCTCCTCC